CCACCTTGGTTTTTTGGACGGAGAGAACCAATTTTTTAAGACCTTGCGAGATGGTTGTTTTGCGGTTGTGAAATACAAGAGCGCGTTGTGAAATACTGATGTATGCAAATTCTGTTGTGACTTACCGCATCAAAACCAGGATTGGCAGCTTGGCCCTTTGCCGTTCTGCCTGACCTGACCTTCCGTTACCAGGTGCAGCCGATTGTGCAAAGTCACAATTCGTGTGATTGTGTTGAAACATGTTGAAACCCTAATGGTTAGTGAATCGGCTAATGCGATTCAAAAACATCAACACCAAAAACATGAGGCGAAAAGGAAGGTTCTTAACTGTGTGCAAATGAGTGTGTAATTCTTGGATTCTGATACTGATTCTATTTTAGATTTTTCTGCTGAACAACTCCATTTGTTCAGCTAGAAATGCGTAATCCACAACATTTTCCATTTGCAACTTGCATTTGTGGTTGGAGGCGTTCTTCCAGAGTTTGCAGTCATGGGAGGTGCACGTTGAAACTGCGTAGACAACATGCTGGAATCCGGTGAGATGCATGTTTTCTGGGAAAATCAATATAGAAACATTTTTTTTGTGTCCATTTGGTCGAGGCGCTAGCAGTTACATTGCAATGCTGAGCATTGCTGGTTTCCTTGGGTTGTCACCTCAGCTACTATTTAATTTATTGTTTGAATTGCAAACATGCACAATGTTCATGCCTGATGATCTCAAACGTCCTTTTTAGTTTCCATGATTTAAATGTGCATGTTACTCATTGGATTCATGTCCAGTGTTTTGCGGTTCCTTGGTGTTTTGCCTTGATTGGCCTTGGGTCATGTCTAGAGTCTTGACAATAGTTGATCAACTTTCATTTCGGGATGGCATCAAATTTTGTTTGCATTTTGAATGTTTTTTTTCTTAATGAAAACCAACTGATAGAGACGTCTTGGTGTTCATCGGAAAAAAATCCGGAGGAAAACTAGAGTGAACTGGTGAAATCTACAGCAAGGCCTTGGGTGAACTCAAAAAGTGCAAAAACGGCGCCGAGGGCAGCATGGACGGCCAGCAAGGTCTCCAGGTTGCTTGGGTTGGGTCCTCAGATGAACCTATAAAATGAATTGATGCATGTGCATCGCGCAAACTTGTTTTTTGGGTTATGCCAAACGTTCTTGCCTGAATAAATGTCTCAGTAGATAGTTTGACTGTGTCCACATGCTTTGCCTGCAGGATATCGTCCATTGTACTAGAGATTGTGGTTGGAGTTGCTCTTGGACCCAGGTTCCCTTTTGAAGGGTGGCTCCGGGACCTCTCAAGATTTCAGATTCCGTTTCATTCGTTTCATTGTCCAAAACTTGCCATATCGCCCCAAATGAAACACTTCTGCAGGGGCTTCGGTATCGTAAGCCCAGTCTACACAGACCTGTGCTCAGTGTGCACAGTCTACTTGTGTTCTTGTGCCTTTCGAGACGTTTCGAGCTGATTGGGCATTCTTCCAGCATCGATAAAACGAAGAAGACGAGAACTTTTCAATTTTTTTCATTCTTTTAGCATTCAAATTTTGACAGATTTGATTTTGTTTCGAGTTGTCACTTAAAGATTTGTTAGAAGGCCTAGAAGGCCTAGAAGGCTCGTATTTTGCTTGGAAGGTCTGTGAGACAAAGCGTGTGGACAACTGTGGCGGACCCGAAGACTTGGACGAGCGCATAGAGAAGCTTAGCTGAGGCCCTGCTAGGCCCTGCTAGGCCCCCCCAAATCCCCAAACTGTAAGGCCTTCCCCTTCCAGTCTCAGTCACGCACCCGCACTTCTTGTATTTCATACGCCACTCTAATTCACTTAATATTCACATCATATTCAATTCTTATTAGCTTCTAGTTCACCTGAATCACCTCTTTTTGTATTGTTTGCTTTCGTCCTAACTTTGTCTCTCTTTCGGTCGTCTCCAGTCGACTAGAACCCTGTCGGTTTGTGCGTGAGACGTTTTCTGTTGAAAAATAGAGACGGTTTTTCTTGAGAAAAGTCTTTTCTGTTGACGTTTGTTGAATCAGTTTGAAAGTCTGCTGAGGAAAGGACTGCCCTTGGGAGCAGCATTGGCCTGAGGATGAAGCATGATGAAGCACAGAGGTAATGGAGGTAATGGTAGTGACTGGTAGTGGTCTTCTGGTAGAAATTACAGAAATTGGAGTTGGGAAGAGTCGGTAGGAGTCGGTCGCATAGGGCCAAGTCTTCAACGACTATATCATTCTATATCATTCTATATGTACTGTATTTATATATATAATATATCTAGTAATATATGCAATGACCTCTTTTACCACAATAGCTTGACTAGTATGACTTAGTATGACTATATGACTGTATTCAGCAATATCATTGCGGGTGAAGATCAGGGGTTTTCAATGCTTAAATGTCACCCTGAAGGGTTGTCCCTGTGGTCAGTACCCGCAGTGCCCCTATTTGGGTGCAAGGATGTGCAAACACTGCGCGGAGAAGGGTACTCTCGCATGCATGATGACAACATTGGATTCTCACACATGCACATGGCATGGCGTGTATGCATACATGAAATTATGACACAGCATGCAAGAAACTGGATACTTCAGGTTGTTACCTCCATTCTATAATGACCCATCAGTAGATTTTGATCTTACTCAACAGAACGAATGATGGCTTCTTTTTAATGATGCCACGCCTTTTGCCACCATTTGTTTGCGCACAGTCTCCCTGGCAAAGGGTAGCGCTCTATGGACAATTTGTCCTCCGTACTTGATCAAAGCGTGTGCTGAGACATTGGGACACATTGCCTCGATTGGTGTGTGCCATGCCTCAGACTATGGCCACAAACTCAGCAAACATAGGTTATAGGTCATAGATTTGAGCAGTTTAGGTTATTTTAGGTTGATCTGTTTTGGTCTGAGTCCGTGTCAACTGGGAATCTGTGCCGGATCTTTGACGCTGTCGCTGTGCCAAACCGTGCCAAGAACATCATGGTCACGAAGACCACTCTGCCAGAAGCCAAGCTGTGCGGAACAGGGACAAAGCGGACGAAGTGCACAAAGGGATTCACTCAGATTGTCTCAGACTCGGACTCCCACTTGACTCCAGAATCATGTTATATATATATAATTATATGTATATATATATATATATTTATATGAATTATACATTTATATATATATATTTATCATGTACATGATGCGACATTTTCTTGGAATCAGAACATTTGCCGAAAACTGGCCTTTCCACTCCGTGTCAGATGGGGGGCAATGGTCTCTTCAACATGAGCATCGACTATGTGGGCGGTGCCACTCCAGCAGTCTCAGAGGTCTGATCCACAGCAAAAGAAGCAACAACCCTTGACTTCTCCCTTGACTTCTCCTCGACTTCCCGAGTGGGCACAGTTGGCACTTTGTACAGAACTTGCGGCGCGAATGTTTGCTGCCTCTGTAACATTTTAGTAAAAGTCTCTTTGTGCGACAGACGATGCATGACTGCCGGCACCTGGTAACCTCCTTGCATAAAGTGACGCGAGTTACATCTGTTTCAGGAGTCAAGGCATAAATTTTTGTTTCCAAGATTTTCCAAGGTTTTAATTTTTGAGATGTTTTCAGATGTTTACAGTAATTACAAGTCAAGTTTTCACAAGACTTTACAAGACTTTACAAGACTTACAAGACCCCCTTCTATCACGGTTTCACTCAGGGAGACCATGGTGAACATGGTGAACATGGTGAACATGGGACTGAGCACACTGAGCACGGTGAGCACTCTTCTGGTCGCAGCCCTTGGATGCTCCGTGGAGAGACGCACGTTGAGGGAGATTCATGGCAGAGACTGCTCCGCTTTGAACCATTTTGATCCATTGTGATCCATTTTGAACATATTTTGAGCATATGAGCGGTTTTCCGATTTCCGATTGATCTGAATCCCTGCTGCAGCAGAAGTCTTTGTCGAAGCCCTTGGACATTTCCCAAGGTTCACATGGCGATTCGCATGGTGCCGGCCACAGGTGCACACCTTGGGACAAGAGTTCCAGCAGCATTGAGTTGGAAAGCATTGTTAAAATTTGTTAAACACATTTAAACACATTCAATGAAATAATTCAACATATTTCAGCTAGAGTTCAATTCTGTCATTGTCAGCATAGCTTCTTTGAGAATCTGAGTTTTGCCACGTTTTTTTTCTGTTTTGGATTGGGCAATGAAAAACGATAGTTGCTTTCAACTTGGTCAATGCATGTTGCCATGAAAAAGGGATTGGGTCTACGGATCTAAGAAGAATGGGAGCTGTTTCGTACAAGTGAAAACCGCAAACCTGCAGAAAAATGCATGATCTCGGCACATTGCCGCTGCAGTGAAATGTGCAAAGTTGCAGGGTCGTAGACAATTACAATACCTTGTTTGTGATTGCCCTTGTCCTTGCCCTGGTCACCCTTCCAAGCTACCAAGTCATGCACATTGAGGCGTCTCTCTGGTGGCTGGGCACTTGAGAAGTGATAGGTGACATACTGTGACGTGGACTGTGGACTTTCTGATCTTATCAGCGCAGTTTCTGTGAGTTTCACTGACCCAGGCCACTACAGCAGCTACAAAGAATGCCTCATCAAAGAGTGCCAACATGACCGATGATCAACGGTGATGATCAACGATGCCAGAATGCTACATTGAATGGAGTTTGTGAGCAGACAGTGCAAGACTATGCAAGACTCCCAAGTAGGAGTCGTATCAGCCGCTGCTGCTTGAACCATTTTTGGCCAATTATTGCTGGCCGCTAGTATGTTTCGCAGGATGTGGATGAAAATTGCGGCTCGTTCCCAGATTTCTTCACACTGATCGGGCATGCAGGCGGGGAGATGGAGTATGAGTATTGGTGAAACTGGAATGAATACATCTTATACATGTATTGGGATGTATTGAAATGTATTGGGTGCATTTAATACATGTCATACATGATGTGATACAAGTTGATACAAGGAAAAAACATGTTGTTTTGGGGGCCTCAGGTGTTGGGCTTATGATCTTCGAAAGCGGCATGCACTTCGACTTCGAAAAAGCCCAGGCTGTTGGCACAGTCGAACAAGAGTCAATGTAGATCAATGTAGATCAATGTAGCAGATGTAGATTAGATGTAGATTAGATGTAGCAGGTTTGTCTTGTGAGCTGAGTCTGAACCCCAAAATTGGACCCAACAGCAACTTTGGTTGACATGGCAGCCACATGGCAGCCACATGGCCACAACAATAACCATAGCCGCCATGGCCCAGGGCCTCGCATTTGTGCCCTCACTTCATACACTGTACCATTCAGTAAAGCCAAGTAAAGCTCACTAAGTAAAGCATCAAGCAGTCAATCCTTCTGCGCTTTGATCTTCGGACAAAGGCTTTGTAATGCTTTGTCCGCAACGATGGACTTGCCGGTCTTGGAACAACATAGAACATGAATGAACATGGTCGCATGATGTCGCATTGGTTTGTTTTGAGTCCTCTCCAGGTGGTGGGTCCACCAGCTGTAGCAGTGGCAATCCTTGGAACAATTCTCCCTTTGGCAACTTGGAACAACTTGGAAAGGGTTTCCAGATTCCATAACCCGTAGATTTACCAAGAGTTACTATGCTTCCTAGCTAATCCAAATCTGTCCCTGTTTAGTTAACGTTCAGTCAAAGTCTATCTTCGCTTTGGCAAAGATGGAGTGGACAAAGGCAGAGACATCAGAGATATTTCGCTGATTTAGGGAGAAGATGGGAGAAGAGGAACACTGGTCGGAACACTGGTCGGCGATGATAACATTCTTGAGGTCGTCGGAACTTTGTTGACGGTGCTCTTTGGAAGGCCTCTGATGTGTGGTCCTGATGCTCCGATTTGATGCTTTTGATAAATGGGCACAGAATGGCATAGATGTGACTCGATTCATCCACATTCATCCTAACTTAATCTAATGACATCTAATTTACTCATGTTATTCAAAAGTTCCACAGTTTGAAGATGTTTGAAGTCTGTTCCAAGGCCTGATGGAATTGCAGCTGGCACGGCCCTGGCACCAACCAGCCAAGCTGGCCTGTCTCACCGAGCTTTGCACCAACATGCACCAACTATTCCGGGACGGAAGCAAAGCACGGAAGCAAAGCACGGAAGCAAAGCGAAGCAAAGCGAAGCAAAGCCCATACTGTCTGTCACAATATGTCACAAAGCTTGTCACAATGGCATACAATGGAGATGCCATCAGAAGCACAAGACAAATCAAGACAATGCAATCATTCAATCAGTTCCACTCCAAATGCAATCAACTTGAAATCAACTTGAAATCAACTTGAAATCAACCAAAAGGCACATCTTTGTGGCAGATTTTGATTGATTTTGTAACCTGCAGGATTCAGTTCCGAGCAACCGAGTTCGAAATGGCATATCATTTTGGCCCTGCTTTACAGTGGTAGACCTCTGAGGTTCCAATCGAAGGTTCTTACCAAATATTCCGGTTCTTCAAATAATCCCGAAGGTTCTTGACACGCTCTTAATGGAAAATGTGAGATGTAACTTGTATTGTCTGCATTGTGAGAAGTTTTTCTTTCTTTTTTTTTTCACAGTTGCTTTTCTCTGTGCCAGGTGTGGGCATTGCTTTGCGCTTGTTGGGTGAGGCAGGTGTCCTCCAGGAGAATTTTGGACAGGTGCAGGCCTTGGTCACAAAATGCATTGCATTTGGAAGACATTTGTAATCAAGACGTTGATTCGTTTATTGATTACATTTATTGATTACATTTAATTACTGTTTAAATCTTGAGTTTATAGAAGCTATAAATCTATTTAAATCTGTTAAAATGACTTAATCATACTTTAATTGATTACTTAAATGATCATAAATGATCACAGCAAGACAGAAGAATGTAATATGCCACAATACTTTGGAAACAGAACACAAGCTTTGCAAGATTTCTGTTTGAAGATCAGCCTCTAACACGAACACCGGGCAGTTCTTTCCTGTAGTGCGTTTTGTTTTGTTGTGTGATGTTGTGTGGCAATATTTTTGTCACAATATTCTCCCTGGGATTCGCGCATGTCATATTCCCACCGGACAGCGGATTTCACCGGATTTCAGGCCATCATCACAGCTGCATTCGTCGTCTTGATCTCAGAGACCATCAGAGACCATCAGAGACCATCAGAGACCATCAGAGACCATCAGAGACCATCAGAGACCATCAGAGACCATCAGAGACTATCAGAGACTATCAGAGACTGCTGCAGCAGCTGTAGCACATCTGTCAATCTATCTGCAAACGATCTTGATCAGTTGATTAATGTTGATTATATTGACTAGTGGTTGTTATGATTGTCCGTCTTCGGTTGCCTGGCTTGATTCGTCAGAAAAGACTGCTTTGAAGATAGGGGTCATATGTGGAGGCAAGTTGGAGGCTCAACTGTGACAGGGCTAATTCCTCCCAGGACGATATCCTTTCCCTTGTGCTGTTCAACGTGCTATTCAGCCCTTGCCTCAGCGATCAAGATGACAAGGGTTTTCATCTTCAATGAGAGTCTTATGTTAGATATCAAATCTTATCGAATCCCAAAGTTTGGAGGTCAGAGATACTGTTCAGATTTTTGCTGGACAAGCTACCAGGTGCTACCAGTCAATCAAATCATATCTCGTGTTGTCCCATTTTGAAGCCATATCTATGCCGTTTTGAAGCCATCGGTCCTGCACAGTCATCTGACATCATCTGACGTCATCTGACGTCATGTGACATCTTCACATCTGATCTAAGCGGATTGCCTCTCACGCCTGGGCTCAGGTCTTGGAGGTACATTCGATGCTTTCAAAACCATCGCAGCTTCCCCAGTCACGTTGCAGTCACAGAGTCTCGCTCTGTGTTAAACCTTAAAGCGTTCTCTGCGAGGTTAGCGGGTTTAACATGGTTTAACATACTTAACATTCTGGTGACGCGCTTCTTTGTGTAAGACACACTGTGACTTTTGTAGAGACCTTTGTGCGACTTTTCCACGACTCGGTGCTCAATGTGTTAAATGAGGTTAAATGTACAAAATTGTGCTGTTTGTGTTCTGCGCAATCTGGTGTCTTTGGCAGAATGGATCAGCGTGGCCTGAGGGTTCAGGGCACATCAGCTCAACGTCTAAGATAGTGGATCAAGCAAATGAACCAATTGAACCAGAGCAAATGAAATGCACATGTACAAATTCTGAATCAGTGATGTCAGCCAATGTCAGCCAATGTCAGCCAATGTCAGCATGGGAGTAATGTCGTCCTGGACATTTTCCTAAAGTAAACACATCCAAACAAAACACAAACACATTCTAGCAAAAACATTACATACTCTCTAAGCATGCACTACTGTTTTGTTGTATTTTCTTTAGCAGTGACTCACTGGTTATGCTAAACTTTCCCAAATTTTCTCCAACCTGTCAAGTCCTTTCAAACCTGTGTCACGTTCCTCCTATCCTGGCCGGTGCCATGGCAGTTGTTGGCAGTGCAGATGTGCCAGCGAATCCCGATGTTAGCTACGACTTGGATGGAAGCATGTTCGAAGATTTTCAGAACGTCGATCCCCAATTAAGTTCATCTTCCCCTGGATCTGGCACATCAGAGAGAAGTAAGTTTGCCTTCTTTGCACTTCAACGTGCGATTGAAAGGCTTCGAGCATTCTATTATGTATTGCAAGTGGCATTTGGCTGCCTCATTGCAGGTGTCTTCTTGTTGGTGTTGACAGAAATTCTGTGGCGTTTCTTCAAAGGGTATGTTGCTGAGACGGCGATCTCTGGCTTCAGTGCATTGGGCTGGCTTTTGGTATCTGCTACAGTGGCCATTGCCTCCACTTGCCCCGTAGATGAGTTAGACTTTAATGCCTTTGTCACTCCCAGGCCAGTTCTTTGCATGTTCTTGGCCATGCTGCCACTGATCACTGCAGCTACAAGGGTGTGGGAAATGCCAATACCACGGTGGATATCCTGCTTTGTTGCGCTGCTGATGCTTGTCTATGGTTGCCTGCGCAGCACAAGTTGCCAAAGCTCTTGCTCCGCAAATCTGCAGGGGCTTCTCCCCTCCTTTGCCGTGTTGATGGAAGTGTGGTATCTGGATGTGATCGTTGGTTCCACCATAAATGAAGTTGCACTGGACGAAGAGGGAGTTTTCACTAACGTGTGGCTCGCCCTCCATGCAAGTCTTGCTGTTGCACTGCAGTGTTGGCTATGGTTGAAGAAGTACCGCTCAACGACACGATTCAACTTCTCAAGCCACATGGCTTTGTCGTGGCAAAGCAGTTACTTCTTCTGTCGTGCCATTGACTTGTCGACTGGGAACAAAGAATGGGAAGCAGAGCGACAGTTGGATGTGGCCATCAGCGCAGCTGTGGCCTTCGCAGTAGCAGCGCTGTTGCCATTGACCGTTGTGTGGTTCATCGGCCGGGAACGACTTTTCAAGCGCTTGTCAGACTGGGTTGAACACCGACGCAAGCTTCAAGAAGGCGCTTTTATGGCGATGTTGTTGGATTCCTACGTGGTGGAGATCGGCCAACCCTGGTGGTTATCAGAAGCTGAAGCTGCATCAAGCAGAGAACTTGCCTCCTGGCTGCCCAAGAGGAAGGGCAAAACAGAGAAAGAGAGCAAACATCAAAAAAAGACTTGGTCAGTTACAAGAAGTGTGAGTGTTCCAAATGAGGATACTAAGAGGCCAGGATTTGTAAAGGGCCGTGTGGTGGACGTTGCAGACGATGGCAAGAGCTTTTGCGTTGAACTTCCTGATGGCAAGGGGATGCAGGTCCACCGCAATCAGCAGGCCATGCTTCCTGGCCAAAGAGTGAAGGCTTTTGTCTTGAACAATTCGGTAAAGAGTTTAAGTTTAAACATTTGATTCAGAAGAGGAGAGTACAAAATCTGTGTTTGAATATGTTTGAATATTGAAGAAATAGTTCTTTGAGGCACTACCTGCCTGCTTCCATGCCAGGAAATCCATTGATAAAATAGATTCGAATAGATGAAGACTATGACATGACATAGCCGTAGAATTCAAGATTTACAGGCTCTTTAAAGCTGTTATTAAAGCTGTCTTTATAGGTATGATATCTGATATAGGTTTTTATAGGACATATATGACAAAAAACCTTTAAAATCCTTAGCTAAAACGGTTTTGTGAAACGGTTTTCAAACTGTCGCCACAGGTGTTGCCTTGGCCTGAGCTGTTGGAGCAAGGCCGCAGGACCTTGCGATGTGTGGCGTCGGCAGCAAGTGAGTGAAAGCAGATGAAAAACAGACTAAACTGAAAGATTAGATGAATGAGCAAGATAATGAAAGCAGATGAATGAAAAGCGTTAAAATTTGTTATGAAGATTTGAAAAAAAATGAAAAAAGTGTTTTTCGTTACATTTCACATTATTTCACATTATTTCACATTATTTCACATTATTTCACATTATTTCACATTTTCAGAAATTCTATGAACATGTAAAGTAAAACTCTGTTTCAAATTGTGTAAAGAGTTTTCGACAGAACATGAAAGGCATATGTAATCCCTCGAAAGATGGAGTCTTGTTGTATTTTGTCCGCCTAAGGCAAACAAATGCAAATGTCTTCGTGTCTGCTTTGCTCCTTCCATCCGCTTGCGCAAACCTCTAGAACAGCATCCATCGTATCTGTTTGTTCAGGGTACGTTGTAATCAAATTCCATTGTATACTCTAGGATGTCTTGCCGTCTTGCCAGTTCTTGTTTTGCCTCCATTTAAATACCAGTGTGGTCTAGGTGAAACCCGCGAGATGCAATAAAATCTCTGTGATAGCTTCCTGCTGGATTTGTAGGTTCCCTATGGTTCCCTCATGTTGAAGACTGCGTGTATTAAGATTGGCCAGTTTGTAATTTTAGAGAACCAAACCCTGTGAAGCCTGGTCTGAAAAGTTTAAGGGTTCCAAAGCTGGCTCTAAGGTTACACAATTCCAGGGTACCATTCAAGTCTTATGGCAAGGCAAGTTGTTTGATGCACTGTCCCTGCAGTTGAGAAAAGCCACATTCCAACCTTCCAAGCAGGTCACTCAGGTCTTTGACAGAAGCTCTGACGGATGAATCACAGAAGGTTAATGATATCGAAGAATCAACAATGCTTCAGGGTTCACCAACTGGAATCTAAAGTGTTTCCATTGAAAACGTTTTGCTCAAACTCCTTTGTTTCCTGCTTTCAGCCTCTCCGTTGCTGTATGTCTACAGAAAGTATTTCCGTGACTTCGGTGGCAGCTTTTGTAAAATAGACAGCCATGCAGCCAACCATTCACTCTTTGCCTTTAATGCAACCCGAAACATCCCGAAACATCCCGAAACATCCCGAAACATCAAGCCATTGCCTACTGAATCCCATGAGTCAATTGTGTTCATTGAGCGCCTGTTCTTTTCTGCACATGTTTGCATATTTTGTCATGTCATGTCTATATCGTATGATAATATACAGCACCCTATATATATAATATGGATTAATATTGAGAATATGTATATATATATATACATACATACATAATCGAAGGAAGTTTAGAAGTCAAACTTCCGACAATGTGGACAGATGGAAAAGCAGAGGTGGGACGAGTCAGAGAGGAGCAGAGAAGAAGAGAGAAGATCAGAAAAGAGAAAGAGTGAGAAGAAAGAAGATGCAGGCGCGCGAAAAGCTAGGAAAGTCGCGAAACACTGTGTTTTTCCAATGGTTTGTGGCTCCGCAGGGTCGAAAAGCAGGCTCGCTAAAGCGGCGGGTGCGGAGCTATCTGGCCAGATGAGAGATGAAAAATTGCACTCCGTTGTGGCGCAAAGCGCGTTTCCAAGTCAAAATGCACAAAGCACACCAATGTCGGACCACTTTTGGAAGTTGAGATGTCAAAAAAGTGGACGCCGCTGTGGCACGAAGCACGTTTCCAAGTCAAAACGTAGAAAGCACACCAGGTTCGGAGCACTTTTTGAAGTTGAGATGTCGAAAAAGTGCTTCGCCGTTGTGGCGCGAAGCGCGTTTCCAAGTCAGCATGTTAAAAGCACCACATGCTCGGACCACTCTTGGAAGTTGAGATGTCGAAAAAGTGCACGCCGTTGTGGTGCGAAGCACATTTCCAAGTCAAAATGTGAGAGGGGTTGCGTTTTGGAGCATCAGATCTTCAGGTTTGCTACGATGATATTGCATGGCAGGTGCAGCACTTCGTATGACCTGACCTCACTTTTTCGTGGCTGTCGCAATGCTTTAGAGACATGGACGGGAAAGATCGCAAAACGCATTGGCACGAGGTCATCAGCTCTGCACTCAACTTTCCATTATTGAAGGAAGTCTCGCAGAATTGAGGACGTCTCGCAGAATTGCTTCGTTTTTGACGTTATCAAGTTCAAAAATGAGAAAGTCTCCCAGATTTGCTTCGTTTTCAAACTTGCAGAAAGACAGACAGGCAGACAGACAGACAGATAGATAGATAGATAGATAGATAGCTAGACAACTACAACTGCAACTACAGCTGCAACCACACTGCACTACCACTACAACTACAAATGCAAAAACAAATATACCACGCTACAGTACACTAATGCCACTACACTACATTAATGCCACTACACTACATTACATCAGTCAACACTACACTACACTAATTACACTACGCTACACTACACTGCACTGCACTACACTACACTATATACATTACACTACACCACAGTAATAATTACAGTACACTACACTACATTACACTACACTACGCTAATTACATTGCACTACACGACGCTAGACTACAACTACAACTACAACTACACGACGCTACATTACACAACACTACGGTGCACTAGTTACACCGCACTACGCTACAACTACAACTCCAACTACAAATGCAACTACGGCTGCGACAACTTCTACTACACCTCAACTACACTACAGCTACAACTGCAACTTCAACTACGCTTCAACGACACTTCAACTGCACTTCAACTGCACTTCAACTACAACAACTACAGCTACAACTTCAACTGCACATCAACTAAAACTACAGCAACTACAGCAACTACAGCAACTACAGCAACTACAGCAACTACAGCAACTACAGCAACTACAGCAACTACAGCAACTACAAAACAACAACACCAACAACAACACCAACACCAACACCAACACCAACAACAACAACAACAACAACAACGACAACGACAACAACAACAACAACCACCACAACCACAACCACAACCACAACCACAACCACAACCACAACAACAACAACAACACCAACACCACCACCACCACCACCACCAGCAACAACAACAACAACAGCAACAACAACAACCACAAACACAACCACAGCCACAGCCACAACCACAACCACAACCACGACCACAACAACGACCACAACAACGACCACAACAACGACCACAACAACAACCACAACAACAACCACAACAACAACCTTAACAACAACCTTAACAACAACCACAACAACAACCACAACAACAACCACAACAACAACCACAACAACAACCACAACAACAACCACAACAACAACCACAGCAACAACCAACAACCAACAAAAACAACAACCGGCAAAAACAACAACCAACAAAAACAACAACCAGCAAAAACAACAACCAGCAAAAACAACAACCAGCAAAAACAACAACCAACAAAAACAACAACCAACAAAAACAACAACCAACAAAAACAAGAACCAGCAAAAACAAGAACCAGCAACAACAACAACAACAACAACAAGAACCAGCAACAACAACAACAACACCAACACAACAACACCACAACAACAACAACAACAACAACACTACAACTGCAACTGCGACTACAACTGGAACTGCAAGTACAACTACAATTTCAACCACACTACAAGTACACTATAAGGACAACCACACTACAACTACAACTACCACTACACTACACTACACTAGACTTCAACTACAAATACCAGTAGTACCGCACAAGGCGGTGGCGGAAGTTTCAGAATAGGAAACCTATAGGAGAGCTTGGTTGTTGTGAATCACGCATGAAACTCCCGCCACCGCCTTGTGCGGTACTACTGGTATATCATAATCTGTAGATTATGTAGATGATATTATGTCTCTCATGTATTTGCTTCAGATGTTGACAGGTGGACTGGGCATCACAGAATGAAGAGCTTTGGATGGACAGCCATGGGATGGGCTATGAACTGTCCAGGCCATTGGGTCGTGGTGAAATCATCGACTTTTTCGTCTCTCACTCCTGGTCCGATTCTCATCTGACGTTCAGACGAAACCTTTTTTCTCTTTTGTCCAACGCCCCTTTTTTGACGAGAAGTGGCGAAAGGGTGTTTTGAGATGTGCCCGAGATGTGAGGATGCATGGGAAGCCTTGTCAGTGTTGTTTTGAATTGCTGGAGTTTGTTTTCAGGTTTGCTTTAAGTACTTATATATGTGATATGTGTATCTTTATGAAGTTCGTTTAACGATCTAGACTCAGGATCCTCCTGCCCAGAAGTGGAAAGCATTGAAACTCGTGGCAGAAAGTTTCTATGCAACACGTGGTCGGTATCCAACCTTTTGGGTGGACAAGGTGTGTATCAACCAGCGCCAGATTGCTGACGGTCTTCGTGTTTTGCCTGTGAATGTCATGGCGTGCAAAGAGGTGCTAGTACTTTGTGGGCCAACATATCCAACTCGACTTTGGTGTGCATGGGAACTTTGCGTTTTGCTCTCTTTTATGCATGTGCCTCAGCTGCACCCACAGCAACTTTTTTGGTTTGTCCGTTGACATACAAACATGTGATTTGTAATTGTTTTGAGGTGCATGCAGCAACTACGTCGCAAATTCATTCCCCCCAGTCTCTCACATTACTCTATTTCAAGCTCACTTGAAATTGCCTTTTGCAGGTTCAACAGGCTTTGAACCAACTGGTAGTGATGCCTTTGAGCAATCCTGCCCTGATGCAGCTGACGACATTCAACTGCTCTGTGTCCAGTTGTTACGATCCCAACGAAGAGTTGCGTTTGCGTCATGTTATCGACGCCATTGGCACAGAACGTTTCGAGCTGAAAATCCGCCAGCTGGGACAACTCATCTTGGACCGAGAGCTCAGCAGCAGCAGAGGTTTGCTCGTTGATGCTGTGCTGGCGGATGGCACTGATGGCACAGATGGCACAGCAGTGGCGACAGCGACAGCAGGGAACACTGTGCGTGCCAGTGAAAGCCAAGGTGATGTGCCTAATGTGCTGCCACCTGACCCCTCCCCGGCAATACCAGACGTACCAGTGGCCTCAGTCTCTGTCAAAATCAGTGATGGGTCTACGGTCAATTTCGATGAGGATCTGATCATAGAAATTTAAAACCATATTTTGTTTCACCAAAATATTTAAAAATCTCATCCCAAATGTGATTGAGATTTACGTTCCGGCCTCCATGGAACGTACCTCACGCTTGCGAAGCACTTCCAGCGTCGACACCGTTGCTGCAGAATGCCTCCTGGTATTTTGTGCGCAGTTGAAATGTTTTGCGACTGCTCTAGAAAAAGAGCAAGTGTTCAATATATGCTGTTCAGGTGTGCAGAACACGTTTCCCCACTACAATGACTCCACATCAGACTCCACATCAGACTCCGCCATGCGCCAAGTTTGCACCTCTCATCGGCATTGGCTTCATGGGCTTTGCTTGTGTGTTGGCGGTGAAGCTGGCGTCTCAGCATCGCTTTGGATTAGATTTGAAAGTATTGAAAGTATTTCAAAGTGCTTTGGAAAGTCTTTCAAAACTTAAAGTGCCACAAAGTGCTCACAAAGACTTCAATAAGAGATGGAAACATGGCATCAGACAGACTTGCAGTGGTGTGCAGTTAAGTGCCGAGGTTTTGGCCGAAGTTTTTGAGGGATTACCTCCTGGCCAGGGTGTCTCGGCTTGTGCGAAGTGGAGCGGAATAGCCCAGCACGCGTAGTACGTGTAGTGTTTGTCGAAAAACACAAGAATCTATCAATGTGAAACGATGTGACCAGAGAACCATGTCAGACCATGTCAGAGTGTGTTTGACCATGTCAGATGCCAACACCATCTTGTTTTGAACCGTTCCCGGAGCTCTTTGGAAGGTGCCTGCAAAGGCGGAGGGAGCCAAGATCTCTGCTCAAGATGAGGCAAGGCCTAAAAGCCAGAAACACATGCCAAAGCAATCTGTTTCCTAGCAAAAACATCGTAAAATACAGTGTTTTTGTCCTTTTCGCATGTAGAAACTACATCTTGCAACATGGTGAAAACTGCGTAAATACCAGTGTTTTGCAGAAATGTTTTGCGCCCAGTACCCAGCATGAAAACAGCAGATATTTCCAGACATGAAGTTCAACGTTTCAGACTTGTCCTGGTCATACTCTGGGTACATTCCCACTTTCAATTGCTTGTCCAAATGCCACCAGCGCAGCTGTGCAGGCTCTCTTCCTCTTCATGTTTGTCTGCCTCTGAGATGTGGGAGCTGGCAGTAAAATCTCTGGTAGTTGGCCAGTTTTTAGCATAGCCTTGCAGAGACGGCAGAGAACAAGGCGCTCTTATTCATCTACGCCACCATTACGCACTTCCTGGGCACGCACTTGCCAGCTTCTAAGTCATTCTAAGATGTGTTGCATAATTTTGCACTGTCTCTGTTGTGCTTGCGTATTATACAGACTGAGAAATCATAGCCTGAGAAACCTTGGAGGCCACTTGCACAGGGTCAGTTGCAAAGTGCCAGCAAGAGCAAAGGAATGACGCAGACCCCAAGAGCATGAAACAGAATGACTCAAATGCGAAGCCGGACATTTGGACAATTTGTCAGGCTTAAAATGGCTGACAATGCTTGTGACATCAGCGACAGCGATTTCCCACTTACTTCCAGAGTCTGCAGAATGAGTGAGCCAGATGAACACCAGACTTATCGGGACTGGGGACTCATTGTGACTCGGTTCACGCTGAGGTGGGGATGCTTTATTGCGGGCATGTCATTTGCTTGCCTGGATCCTCCTCACCATGCACATCATGTACGAGCCACAGAGCCCCCAGAGTCCCAGAGTCTTCATAAAGACTCTGGGTGGCCATGACCCCACAGATATTCCTTGATTCTACCCGGAGAATTGCCAGTTACATCCCGTTCCATTTTTGATGTACTGAGCCACCTGGATGGTGCTGATTCGCCTCTTCCACTTGAAAGGTCTGGGTAAAACAGACCAAGCGCTGGACATCTTGGATGATCCGTCGCAATCTTAGAGACTTTGAGTCAGATGAGTGACTGCAAAATCCAACACCTCCTATCTCCACTTTTTGAATTTGTCTTTCTTGTCTCCCGACACTGCTTTACACCCTCATTCCATCTCAATCACACCTTTGGCATCCTTTGGCAGGAATTTTCTTCACTGGCACGGTGGCATTTTCAATTCCTTTGCAGCAGCTCTTGTCCATTGACGCCTTTTGGAAAGGCCAGCGTTTCCAGGGTGCAAATTCATGACATGAGTGAACGCATTCCTGTTTGAATACTTTGCAGATTGACATGAATTGCATCAAACCAAAGTGGAGGTTTCCTAAAATGGGGGTACGGCCAGATCATCCATTTTAATAGGGTTTCTCCCCAAACAGTTTACTGCTGTGGTTCTCAATTTTTTCTTAAGAGGTGTCCGGTCCGGCTCTCCCCATGCGTCCGGATTCATAGTTGTCTCCCGTGTCTGGCTAGTGGTGTCCGGCTCTTTGGATGTCTGTCTTCACTTGTCTCCCAATTCATAGTTGCCTCCCAGTCTGGCTAGTGGTGTCCGGCTCTCAGGATGTCTGTCTTCACCTGTCTCCTAATTCATTTGTCTCCCAGTCTGACTGGTGGTGTCCGGCTCTTTGGATGCGGCGGATCATTTAAGCCAGCCTTGATTTAAGAGCGTCAATGACAAAAATGAGCCCTTGGGTTTGGAGCCATGTTGGTGAGCCTATGCTGAGCGTATGTTGGGCCAAGAACGCAGTGTTCATTTGGGCCTTGGCACTAAGGCCTAAAAGTGTGAATTGTCTTTGATTTGCCCAAACTGTATTCATTTCACTTGGATGTTTGTCTTGAATTGTCCAGCTTTGACCTCAGCATTTTGGCCTGCGGGGTTGTCGAAAAGATCTTGCGTTGTTTCATGGCGGCTTGGTGACATTGCAGTTTTCGCAAAAAGAACACGCCGTCGGGGCCATGTTGGGCCTACGTTGGGTTGATGTTGGTACGTACCTGACCCGTGGACTCTCTGACCTTCATTTGCCCTATATTCCAGTAGTACCGCACAAGGCAGTGGCGGAAGTTTCAAAAAGGAGAGGTTGGTTGCGGTTGTTGTGAGTCACGGATGGCAGAGCGTCTCTTTCTCTCTCTCACTCTCTCTCTCTCTCTCTCCCTCTCTCTTTCTCTCTCTTCCTCTGACTATCTACCTACCAACCTACCAACCTACCTACCTATCTATGCATCTATCTATCTATATATCTACCTATCTATCCACCTATCTATCTATCTATCTATCGATCTATCTATCTATCGATCGATCTATCTATCTATCTGTCTATCTATCTATCTATCTATCTATCTATTTATCTGTCTATCTATCTATCTATCTATCTAATCTAATCTAATCCTATCTAGTCCCATCTAATCCTATCTAGTCCTATCTAATCCTATCTAGTCCTATCTAATCCTATCCTATCTATCTATCTATCTACCTATCTATCTATCCAATCCAATCCAATCCAATCCAATCCAATCTAATCTAATCTAATCTAATTATCTATCTATCTATCTATCTATCAATCTATCATTCATCTATCTATCTATCATTCATCTATCTATCTATCTATCCATCTATCTATCTATCTATCTATCTATCTATCTATCTATCTATCTATCTATCTACCCACCTATCTACCTACCTATCTATCTATCTAGCTAGCTAGCTATCTACCTACCTATCTATGTAATCTAATCTAATCCAATCCAATCCAATCCAATCCAATCTAATCTAATCTACCTACCTATCTATCTATCTATCTATCTATCTAGCTAGCTAGCTAGCAAGTTTGAAAACGAAGCTCCTCAGTTTGTGAAGCCGGCAACATCAGAATGGCGAAGTTGCTCATTGCGAACGAAGTGAGACTGGGGGGCGGTGGCTGAAAACATGGACACTCTTGAGGCACTTCCCCACCTAATTGCGGTGGCCTTGGTGATCGATTTTGAGGCTGATGTACCAGGTGGCAATTGGGTGACGGTGGGGTTCGATTCCCCCCTGGTCCGTCCTCCGACGTGCACTTGGGGAGACTGGAACGGAGGGTAAAATGATGGAGAAATCGAGTAAAACCATGGAAAAACAATGGAAAAACTGAGGGAATGGAAGGATAAAATAAGTCGTACGGATTGGAGTTCCAGGGCGAGGTGTGTGATGGGGCGAGAAGGTTGGAGGGAAGAAAGAGCGTGGCTTGGGCGGGCCTTTTGGGATGAGGCTCTTTTAGGTGGTCAAAGAAGGCCGCCGGGTGAAGGTTGCAATGGCTGGGAAGCAAAGGAGCCTGCAGGGTGAAGGTTGCAGATGGCTGCTGATGCCTGGGGGTGGGAGGAGGGAGGTGCGTGGCCGGGGGTGCGAGTAGGAGTGGTACTGCTGGGGCGGTTGGAGCGCGATTGGATCGCGATTGGATGGCGATTGGAACCATCCTCAACTTGAGCAGCTGTCCACTTGTAAGCATGTCCTTGTCACAGCCTGTTCAGGTTGAGTTTTGGTCTTATAACGAGCCAAGAGAAACGTGGATACCAATGGTCTTGCGATTGGGATTATTGGGACCGCGATTGGGCTGTGATGGGCCGGGGGGATGAAGTGATTTTGAGCAACTTCCCACATGCACTGATGTGTGTGGAGGATGCGTAAGCCAAATGTTTTGGGCTGAAAGAAAGGGAATTGGTGCCCGCATTGCAGGGAAAATCTTCATGCAAGTCTCTAACATTAGCCGTGTGAACAGTTTTGCTGTTGGTTCTTGACATGTACGAACATGCTAGTATTGACAAAACAACAAGGTAGTTCTGCTTGCAATTTAGATGTTCACGTAGTGCTTATGTGGAGTGCTTGGGAATGAGGTATCGAAAAGATATGCATGTCTGCGTGGAGGATGCGCAAGCCAAATGTTTTGGGCTGAAAGAAAGGGAATTGGTGCCCGCATTGCAGGGAAAATCTTCATGCAAGTCTCTAACATTAGCCGTGTGAACAGTTTTGCTGAGGCTCTTGCAATTTTGCGATGTTGGTTCTTGACATGTACGAACATGCTAGTATTGACAAAACAACAAGGTAGGTCTGCGTGCAATTTAGATGTTCACGTAGTGCTTATGTGGAGTGCTTGGGAATGAGGTGTCGAAAAGATATGCATGTCTGGAAAAGTAGTCCACGTATGCAGCATTGGGCGCATGCCAGAGTGCCATGGATATTTCAGGCTGGCGTGTCATATTGGAAGAGTGTGCGTCGAGATTATTCGAATCTGATGTGTCATGCATCATCACCCAAGTGGAGCTGTTGGAGAAAGCAAGTTGCCTGTGGTTGCAGAGTGCCTGGGCCAGTTGGAAGGAGGAGTTTTGAACGGGCTGTGGCGCAGTGCCGCTGGAGTCGGAATGGGGGAATGATGCAAAATTTCTTGGTTGATGTTTCAGTTTGATCGAAGGAATGATTGACGCAGAGTTGCACAAGTTGATTGCATGTATGTGTCTACTCTGGGATGACGCTGCTTGGGTATGGCCATGTTGGGTCTGTGCTGCAAGGGTTTGTGTGCCGCAGTGGTGTTTTGGCTCGACGCGTGAAACATTTTGGTCTGTGGTTCGAAGCTATGCCGCCCCGCAAGTTGAGTGATCCGAAAGCTGAGCCCAAAAGGAAGAGGTCTTGGAAAGGAGCTGAGGAGGCTGGAAGTTGGTCGCTGGAGTGCCTGAGTGTGTTACAGGGTGGGACTGAGAGTGTATTGCTGATTGATCTGGAAGCAGAGGTTGAACCAGCGTCCTTTGCCGTCGCACCTGCTGCAGCAGCTGCGAGTGGTGGGGAGGCATGGGGTGGGGTAGCAGTTGTGATGTTCTGCTTTTTGGCGGCGAAATGCTTCTGTTTCATTTCTGCAGACATTACCTGCTGCTCCGCTGGCCGCTGGCGCAGAGGTGCTGATGTCTCTGTGCAGAAGCAATTGCATGGCATAGTGGTTTGTTGCTAAGATAGACTTGTTTCCTGGAGGTCGTTGCGAGCTCTGCTGCAGCAGTGGCGGCAGAGGTGGACGCAGGGTTTGGAGGGTTGCGCAAACAGTGTTGCGCTGTTTCAGTCATGGCATCGGGATTCTGAGTATACTGTGTTTGCCAGACAGATGGATGACAGGTCTCGAGTGGAATGGATTCTGTGCGTGGCAGTGGCTTGGCTGCGGCTTTAAACGCTGGCAGGGTGTCCTTTGGGGTTTTGCCTTTGTCTAACGTGAATTGCGCCAGGCTGCGTTGCCCAATCTATCTTCTGTTGCTGTTGCTGATTTGCAGGCGGTTCTGCGTATGAGAGAGACATTTCCTTTGTGCCTTGTTTTCCAATTTTTTATCCTGCTGGTAGGCTGCTCTTATGCAGATGGCGCAGAGTGGGTCGTTGGGGAGCAGTGAGGCTAGAAGAGTGTGTGCTGCGTATGCTTATCAATCGCGGGGGCTGTGGTGTGGAAAGAAGTGAATAGCCATGTCACGAAGCCACTTCAAAGCCAATTCAGACCCCAGATTTTTTGTGATTATTTCCACTTGTCTTCTTCTTTCTTGCGGACAATGGTTTCATTGATTGCAAGGGACTGTCTGCACCTGCATAGGCAGCTGCGACTGGGTCTGGCAGTGCTGCTGGTCCAGTCATTGTTGCTGAGGCTGTGGTAGTGCCATTGGATTATGGCACACTCGAAATAAAAGCAGAAGTTTTGAGTCGTAAGTGGTTACCGTTGGATGACATCTGTACATGAAGCTATGTTGCTGATTCAGATGATTTTTTTTCCGGGGTCAGGATGATTGTGATGTTTTGCGTGGGAAATGTTGGTTTGTTTGCAGCAGCGCAGGCAGAGACAAGTGAGTCTCGTGATGCTCGTACTTCGCCGGCAAGCCTTATGAGAAGCAGTGAAACTTGGTGGCATTAGAGTGATGAAGCAAGTGAAGCTATGCGAAAAAGGTTACAGCATGTTACAGCTGTTACTGTACATTGTACGTATTGTGCTGACAGTCTCTTAGCCTCCTGGCCAGGAGGGTGGACATGCATGGGGGGGACCCGCCTCGCATTACAAGCCGCAATCTACAAGAGACCTGTTTGAATCTTAGGAAGCTGCGGCAGCCGTTGATGTTCTTCATGGTGGGACAACTGTGCTTGCATCTTCGGATGGAACTGGTGGCGTCGGTACGGAGAGGCTCACCATTCCGGTCCCTCGGTTGCTTTGGAATGTGGGTCGTATGTGTAATTGAAAGTTTTTGGTGGAATGTATTAGTGCCGTGGCTTGGTGACGGCGACTGCTCGCAGCGTAAGTCTGTCGTTCAGGTGTGTTGTGAGGACATAATAGTGAGCATGTCTTTACAAACATGGTCAGTAAGAATATATAGAGTTCGTTTGCAAGGTTGACATCCAGCACAATATGTTTTCGGTACATGGACACCGCTGAGGGCGTAGACATTCATGTATACATATGTATATGGTTGTATAACAGTACTTGGGAGGATAACGCGCCTTGCCGTGGTCCCTTGTTCTGTATGTTTTTCGGTGATTTTGTATCTGTCTTTTTCTGTTTGCAAGTCCCTCCATTCCAAGGAAGCGATGGCGTCTGGAGTCATCCCAGCTGCGCCAGCTCGTGCTTTGGCTACTCCCATTCCTGAGCAATCGCCACTTGCAGTGACTCGTTTGCAGCAGTGCGTTAGTTGGGAGAGGGGGTCGTACATTTTAATTGGAAGGTTTGGTATCAACTCTACCTTGTGTTCACTGGCGCAGCCATCCTGACGCAGTAGTGGTTTGTCGCCGAGTGTCACTGGCAGCCATTCCATTTGTCTTTTACCAGTCCGTTCGTCTATTATAACTGTGTCGGACGTGCTTCTTGGTGCGTCCTTCTGGTTGGACTTGTCCAGCTACTGAATTCTAAGGAGCGGATGGCGTCTGTGACTGGATCGGCTGCGCCATTGCCTGCTATGCCAACCAGTGCTGGCGATGCCGTGACCATGCCTGATGCGGCTGTGACTGCGGTGACTCTCTTGCATGACTATCCTGTCTGTTCTTGTGATCATTGCATTTCCGCTTCGCTTTTTTGCTTTGCGCACGTGGCAGCCACTGCGCAATTGGAAGGTAATGGCCCAGGAGGGTGGAAATGCATGTGGGGGACTCGCCTTGCATTACAAGCCACAATCTACAAGAGACCTGTTGAATCTTAGGAAGCGGTGGCAGCCGTTGATGTTCCTCATGGTGGGACAACTGTGCTTGCATCTTCGGATGGGGCTGGTGGCGTCGGTACGGCGAGGCTCGCCAGTCTGGTCCCTCGGTTGCTTGGGAATGTGGGGTAATTGAAAGTTTTTGGTGGAATGTATTAGTGCCGTGGCTTGGTGATGGAGACTGCTCGCAGTGTAAGCCGGTCGTTCAGTTTTTTTTTGGTGAGGACATAATAGTGAGCATGTCTTTACAAACATGGTCAGTAACTATATAGTGTTCGTTTGCAAGGTTGACATCCAGCACAATATGTTTTCGGTACATGGACACCACTGAGGGTGTATACGCTTATGCATACATGTTCATATTGGTTTTATAACAGTACTTGGGAGGATAACGCGCACCTCCGTGGTCCTTTGTTGTGTATATTTTTCGGTGATTTTGCATCTGTCTTTTTCTGTTTGCGAGTCCCTCCATTCCAAGGAAGCGATGGCGTCTGGAGTCATCCCAGCTGCGCCAGCTCGTGCTTTGGCTACTCCCATTCCTGAGCAATCGCCACTTGCAGTGACTCGTTTGCAGCAGTGCGTTAGTTGGGAGAGGGGGTCGTACATTTTAATTGGAAGGTTTGGTATCAACTCTACCTTGTGTTCACTGGCGCAGCCATCCTGACGCAGTAGTGGTTTGTCGCCGAGTGTCACTGGCAGCCATGCCGTTTGTCTTTTTTCCATACTGTCCATGGTATGTCGCGTATGAATTAGGTGAGGGAGGGAGAAAGACTAAAATTTTTACCAGTCCGTTCTTCCTATAACTGTGTCGGACGCTCTTCTTGGCGCGTCTTTCTGGTTGGGCTTGTGTTTGTAAGGAGCGGCTGGCTGGATCGGCTGTGCCATTGCCTGCTATGCCAACCAGTGCTGGTGATGCCGTGACTACGCCCGATGAGACTGTGACTGCGGTGACTCTCTTGCATGACTGTCCTTTCTTTCCTTGTGATCATTGCATTTCAGCTTCGCTTTTTTGCTTTGCGCACATGGCACCCACTGCGCAAGCGGAAGGCAATGGCGTCTGTGGCTGGGCCAGCTGCGCGGCTGCTTTCTGCGCCAGTTGGTGGTGGCACTGGATCTGGAGTATTGACTGAAACTTGTTTGCCTAATTGGACGTATAGCAGTGGTATGCTATGGAAATCCTTTTTCAGTAGGAGTTATGTTTCCTTTTCTTTTTTTTGTTTATTCCTGCTCCGCTTGATCCTGCCTTCTTCACTGTGGCTTCAGCTTCTCAGCAACGTTTCCCAGTCAGCGACTATAAGAGAGGAACTTTACACCCGATGGTTCAGAAGCACGCAGTTGGGCGGCAACACTAGCCTGTGTCAGGGATTCCTCATCAGTTTTCTCCTGCAATGACCTTGTGCTATAAGGCGGGGATGATTGCTGCCGGGGCGTCGGCTATTCCATGTTCTTCTGTGCCAACAAGCGCCGGTGTTCCTCTCATGCCTTCTGCCAGCTCTCCTTCCCTCCCTGCCGCCGCTTGTCTGCATGCGTATGTTTTTGACGTCCATCGTGAGACCAACGCTTGATGTGGCTTTATGGTGTTGTTTGTGTATGCCTGCGAACTGCCGCTCGCGCATGACCACAAGGCATCTCCGAAACGACGACCGATCCGGCCACTGCGTATCACTGCACCGGCAGGAACTTTGCTGACTTCGGCAGCTCACACGGTAGCTGCAGGAACTTTGCATGTTGTGATCCACTTGCTCTCTGCGGTAGCCAGCACTTTGTCAGATCGCTTCCCGGAAGGGGATTCTGGAGTGTCCATCTCCTGGTTGGACACCGATCGGCGGCATTCTACGCATTGGCGGGAATACCTCGCTCATGAGGCCATGTCCGAGGAAGTGTTGGCATTCAACTACTTCCTCATTCATATAGAGTCGGCCCCCCCCTTTACTGTAGAACACTCTTGACCACAGGCCAGAGTATCGAGACCGGGCTTAGTCTGCCTGAAAATTTTCTGCATTACAAGAATGAGCGTGGGTTGGGCATGCCAGACAGTGTGGTGTTGTACACACCTTTCGACGTGGGGGAGTGGGTTTCTGGATCCAATCTGCCAGTGCAAGCAGTGGCGGAGCCCTACACTGAGTTGCCATGGACAGCCGTAGGATTGGCGGAACGACGGGCCATTCTCACTGTGAAGCAAGACACGGCGAACCACTTCCAGATGATACTCCACGGGCATTCCTATCCCTACCGGAACATGCTCGAGTCGTGGGTTGGCAGCTATCTGTCACGTGACCTTTCTCAGATCGTACAGAAGGGCACTGCTGGTGCAATCTATGCGCGCTTCACAGCGCCTTTCAAGGTGGAGGAGCTCCCATTTTGGATCGAGACTTTGCGGCAGTCTTGCCTGGAAGTCCACTTGGAGAACGTGTCGGACCCCCAGGTGCTCCAGATCCTGGCCAATACCCAGCACTTTGCAGTGAAGTGACATGGCTGTGCCCGCTGGACTTGCCCACTTGAGGCAGAAGTGAGGGTAGGCCATACGAAGTGCTGCACCTGCCATGCAAAAGCATCTTCCCAAAACTGAAGATCTGATGCTCCAAAATGCAACCGCTCTCAGGAAATCAGTGCCCCTGACCTCCTAACAGCTCTTGATGAAGATGTCTCTTGTACTGCGCCTGCCACGGAAAATGCATCTTTGCAGATCGTGTTCAAATGTCCCACGCCTGCCATCGTTTTTGGAAATGCCACAAAACCCTCACGTTTTGCCGCCTTTTGACAAGGTGCACAATCCCTTGCGCCTGCCATGCGAAACGCATCTGAACGTCCAAAAGTGTGCCGTACCCCTCATTTTTTTCACTTTTGACTTGGAAATGTGCTGCGCGCCACAGAGGCGTGCAATTTTGCTCTCTCATCTGGCCAGCTGGCTCCGCACCCACCGCTTTAGCGAGCCTACTTTTTGACCCTCCGGAGCCACAAATCATTGGAAAAACAAAGTGTTTCGCGACTTTCCTACCTTTTCGCACACTTGGACCTTCTTTCTTTTGAGACTTTCTCTTTTTTGATATTCTTTCTTCTTTCTTCTTTCTTCTTTCTTCTTTCTTCTTTCTTTCTTTCTTTCTTCTCCTCTCCTCTCCTCTCCTCTGCTCTGCTCTGCTCTCCTCTCCTCTCCTCTCCTCTGCTCTGCTCTCTCCTCTCCTCTCCTCTCCTCTCCTCTCCTCTCTTCTCTCTTCTCTCTTCTCTCTTCTCTCTTCTCTCTTCTCTCTTCTCTTCTCTTCTCTTCTCTGACTCTTCCCATCTCTGTTTTTCATCTGTCCATATTGTCGGAAGTTTGACTTCTAAACTTCCTTCGGCTATATGTTTGCTTTTATTTTGCTGACTCGGGCACAAGATAAGTATGGACATGTTTTCAGAACCAGGCTTCTTGGGACTCACAGTTGCATGCCTAGTAGTGCCCGGCTCTCTGGATGTCTCTTTTTACTTATCTCCCTTCATTTGTCTCCCAGTCTGGCTGGCGGTGTCCGGCTCTCCAGATGTCTGCCTTCACTTGTCGCCCTTCACTCCCAGTCTGGCACGTGGTGTCCGGCTCTTTGGCTGTCTGTCTTCACTTGTATCCCAAGTCATAGTTGTCTCCCCACCTGGCTGCTGGTGTCCGGCTCTTTGGATGACTCTCTTTGCTTGTTTCCCGTCATTTGGCTCCCTTTCTGGCTGGTGATGTCCGGCTCTTTGGATCTGTCTCTTCACTTGTCTTGTCTCCCTTCATTTGTCTCCCGCGCTGTCCAGTGGTGTCCGGCTCTGCGGATGTCTTTTGTTGTTTGCTTTCACTTGCCTCTATCGTGTGCCTCTGGCCATGTGTCTCGCAACTTTCCCGTCTCCCAATTAATTTGTCTCCAATCATCGGTCTGCCTTTGTGGTGATGTCTGGCTCTTTCGCCTGTTCGCTTTTGTGTGTCTTCCATCATTTGTCTCTCACCTTCTGTCTCGTACTTCATCTGTTTCCGGAGTCATTTGTCTCCAATCCTATGTCTGCCTTAGTGGTGGTGTCCTGTTCTAGTTTCATCATGATTTTATTTGTGTTTCATTTTTGTCTCTCTTCTTTATTTACTTTTGTGTCTTCTTGTCGTCCCAAGATAAAATCATGTTCCACCATGGTTTTATGTGCTTTACCACGTGCCTCCTACTTTGTCTCCCTCTGATAGTCTCAGATACAAATGCCGTGGCAAAAAATCAAAATTGTGTGGCATGAAAAAATGTTTGTGATTCATGCTCTTCTCAACTGACATGGATCAAAAACTGCCAGCATCAGGAACTAGTATAACCAAAAACGTGCACGCAGATACTGCAGTGGATATGTAATAACTGTTTGGGGTCTACGGGGGTGTAATCCAGTATAAATCATCCATTTTGGAGTACCCCGATTTATGGACCCCCGAAATGAGACTTCGATATCTTCGGCATGTCGTCGTTTCTAAACGTTCGACAAACTGTGAGAAGAGCTGTGGCAAGAGCTGTGACCAGAGCTGTGTTCAGCTCGTGGAGCAAAGTGGAGCACAGTGGAGCACAGGCAGCATCATGGGCATCTTCGCCTGCATCGGAACCAAGGCGGTCCTTGGTTCCGATTGTGCTGTCGGAGCATGTCATTTGTCAACTGACTGTACGTACTTCTCAAGCGTTCTCAAGGAACAATTTTTCGAAGTTGTCACCAAACTGGAAAATGTGGAAAGTGTAAATCAAAAGTTTTTTTGGTTCTTTGGTTCCTTGTCCTGACAGGTGATTTGCGCACCCTTTATGGGCAAACCAAAATGGGTCATTGGATGGGCCATGGTTGGACGGGCAGAATTTGCGCCCGGCCCTCAATCAGCCGAAAACAGGGTCAGAAGATGCCAACAGTTTTTGCATGTCTTTCCTGTGTTACTGGTGTGGTTTGCTGATTTGCGTCCCTGCTTGTTCTGCACTCTGCAAATGCTGCAGCAAGCACTAGGTATTTGATCGCACAAATGGCCCTCTCGAGCGGAATGATGGATGAGGGGTTTGGTGCTTAAAACACCTTATTAGACCAGGTGCTTTGCAATATTCTCGATTTCAATCTAGGCAATGTCAGGCAGACTGAGATTTCGAAGCACCGAGGACATTCTCCGTTGTCATTTGGGCTTTGCTCTACGTGGTTCTGGCCAGCTTAAATCAGGTTGACTTCTGCAAGTACAAAGATCAAATGCAAAACATTTGCTCCCCAATGTCTTTCTCCTGACTGACTTCAAGCAAGATTTCGAACATGACTTGCGCTTTGTATTTAGGACATGATTAGTACATGTTGGTATATTGTCCTGCTGGTCTACGACTTCGGTACTGTAACACCTTTGGACCGCATGCCAGGCCACTGTTTTTGCTCCTTTCGCGTTCCGCTTCCTTTTGAACCGCTACGTTGCTTCTGAAGGTTTGGGAGAGGTGGGGATCAATATGGATAAGAATGTGGTCTTGGCTGCAAGTGGGAAAACGCAGACTTGAAAGTTTCTAGTCTAGGGCAGGACTTCCAAAGCAGAAAGCACATGAAAGACAGCATGATATGACAATCTCGGTGTTTGGAACTCTTCAGAACCATCGTCTTCATGCAAACCATCAAACCCCTTGTGTCCGGCCTTTGCATCGTGGGTCACGTGCGCTTGTCGGCACAGGGGGCAGCTGGCACTGGTTTTTCGGATTCGCCGGGATCTCAGTCCCAACGCCTCAGGGCGATTTCACTGTGGGCATTGCTTGGCCGAAAACGACGAGAGCAGTCACAGAAGAGTCACAGAGGAGTCACAAGAGTTTCAAGCAGGGATGATTTCGGTGAAGTCTTCGTCACGGCAGTTCTCCAAGGGACTCATCCATTTACGAAGAGAACAACAAGCATGAGTAACCGCCTGAACTGCTGAACTGCCTGAAGCCAATGGCACACAGTGCAATCAAGTGGACTTGAAGAATGTGATTCAATCTGCCATGCCCCATTTCATGTGTTTGCAAGTGAGACAGGAGCTAAATACTTAGAATTTCTTGGAATGAGCTGATGCTCCATGATTCCAATGATTCCAATGATGCTCAGATCATGATCTCAAAATTGTTTCGGCCAGGATTCGAAAGGACCAAGACCTGGAGGCGGGATGCCATGCTGTGCCATGCTGTGCCATGCTATGCCGCGGCGTCCGCTGTCCAGACCTCGAGTCCTCTGACTCCAGAGGCATTTTCAGTACTTCAAAGCAGCGAAGCAGCGAGTACTTTAACTAGCTCCAGAATGCTAAATGTTTCCATATTGCTTCCAGATGAACATCGACCGAATCAGCAACTAACTGAGTCAGCAACTATCCAAGTCAGCAATGACACAACTGTGGGAAGCGGGGTGGAGTGGGCCAATAAGGTTCACAGTTGCACACAGGCGAGATCCTACATCACACATTGGATGGCTACAGACGGGTGGGGTGGGCTGGCGTGGAGCAAAAAGGTACCATTGCTGCTGGGGTGGGGTTGGGTGGGGCTATATCGCTTGCACTTGAGCACAGGCTGCTTTACAGATTGGGTTGGGTGGGGTGGGGAAATAACATTCCCTTGCAATTGCACGTAGATTCAACCCTTTCTTCTAGTTGCCGGCTCAGCCCTGTCTTCGTTGCCCACTCGGCCCTTTCTTCGTTGCCGGCCCAGCCCTTTCTCAGTTGCTGCTGAGCCCTTTCGTAGCTGCCGACTAAGCCCTTTTTCGTTGCTGACTCAGCCTTTTTAGTTGCCGACTCTTGGTTGCCGACTCAGTTCGTTTACTTGCCGACTCAGCCTGCGACCGCTTCCAAATGTTTCTGTATCTTCCACAGGCTTCCACATGCTTCAATAATGCTTCCATATGCTTCTTGTATTTCCGTGTTTGAAAGCTCTGACAACTTTTGCTTAGCTTTGCTTGGTCTGCTTGTGCAGGGAATTGACGTGGCTGGAGCCATCAAGAGCAAAGCAACGGAGTGCGCCATGGAGACTTTCGGTGCGACTTTTCCATGTGATTTTTCTGTTTGTGATGCATCTGCAGCAATTCTCCATTGTCTTAAAGCGACATGAACTGCTTCTGACAATGTTCCAGATACATTTGATTCATGTATATTCTGGTATATTCTGGTATATTCTTATATATATATATATTCTTATGATTTCTTATGTATGTAGACGAATGTCCGAGTATATATATATATACACACTATTGTAGCATTTGTTTTTCCATATTTTGGTTGCTTGAAGGTACGGCCAATCAAGCCCAGGAGGGGAAACTTGGCAAATCTCAGTGAACCCAGCGAGACATATGCAGTTTGCAGCTTTGCGACGCTCGCATGCAAACCACATCAGCTAAGGACGAGAAAGCCAAACACTTAATCAGAATATGTCAGAATATGTCAGCCTTCATAGCAACGCTCTGCAATGTCTGCAGAGATTTCCTTCCTGTTGGTCGGTTGATTTTTGCACAGATTTGACATGATGCCGTGTTGTTTTTGCCATTTGCCTGTAGCTCACCAGGGTGGATTAGGACGTTGCCAAGGCTCTCGATGCAAAGGCTGTGAGAAACCTGGATGAGAACAAAGGCTGGGACACACAGACAGAAAGGAACTCTAGATTTTTGAGTTCCTCAAGCCAATGGACAGGAAAAGGCGGCCTCCTCTGCTGCTTGTTCTTCAAGAAGGCCGGCAGCTCTCTGCTCTAATCCACTCAATGTGCTTCATGTGTTGCTGTGTTCTGCACAGCTCTGCATTCGTCCTGTTGCTCTGCTTTGTTCTTCGAGTCTGTGTTGTCAGGTGGTCGTAAACTAAGGGCAGTGAAAATACAGTTTGCAGATCTTTTCAGCCAACTTGGCACATTTTTTTCGGATTGGCCAAAGATGCTCTGACGGCAGTGATTCCACCAAGTGATGGGCTTTCACATTGACGGGGCAAGATGGGGCAAGTTTTTGAGGAATCACTCGGAATCACGGCAAACATCAGAGCAAATGGGCCTCACTTTGGGCATTTCTCGAAGGGAAGAATCGATTGATATCGATTTCATTGCCCATGAGGATTGAAGCACTCTCAAGGCAAATTATTTACTTGCAGTAGGTGGGCAAAACACGGCAGAGCCATTTTGTCATATTTTTCCATTTAGAGTGCTTCAATCCTGGCGCTTGTGCAGTGCACACTTTTAGAGTGCCCTCCCAGCTGCTTTAGCATTTGCGGAGTGCCAAGGGCAATCATTTGCACGTTCGCAAAAAGGAATGTGTCCCAATCTTTCCAAGTTATGAATGTTCCTGGTCAGATGCCCAGAAGTTCAAAATCTATTCTTGTTATTTCTTGTTGCCCTTTGCTTTGTTGTTTTGATGCTGTGCAAATGATCGACGCATGTCTCACTGGCCATGTTTTCGACAGTTTCAATTGGATGGTCCAAAAGAATCTAAAAGAGCATAACTTACGGATTCTTCCGGTAGTATGGCGATGGCGTCTACGGCCAAGGTGGTCAGCAAACAGGCGACAACCGCCTGGTGTTCAACGGTTGAGGGAGCGTGACACCCGACAGTGCGGCTGCGGTCAACTCACGAGTGCTGTCCTGTCATGTTGTGTCATGCTATCAACTGTTGTGTGTTGTCTCAACTGACGTGTCACTTGCCATGGCAACTTTCTCAGTTCAGTCGATCCACATGTCGCACCTCAACCGAACCATCCATGTCCACGGGACATCTTGGGACTCTTGATGATTTTCCCTGTGATCTTTGTTGGCTTTGGAGTGCAGAGCTGCAAATGACAACTGGCGGCAAGATGACAAGATGGAAAAGGATGCACGTGGCATTCAAGTGACATTCAACTGGAGTTCCAAAAAATGCAATTTAGCAATCCATCTGATTTAAGACTCATTGATTTTTTGATTTTTCCTTTTGTGGTTTCTTTATGTTTCTTTTTCACGTGCCAAGCTGGGTCAAGCTCTGCCATTTCCAAGTCATGCCGGTGCTCACGGAGACTTGAAGACGAGGCCTTGTGACCAGCGACGCCAATCCCAAAGGGATGACCAGTGATGACCAGACCTAGGCAGATCGGTCTGGCAGATCGTGGCAAATGCAGATCACGAGAAACGCATCGTGGGACGGCTTCGACGGCTTCGCGGGTGTGTCGTCTTGTGTCGTACACTTATTTCATCTCATTTTATGATCATTCTGTACCATTCTGTACCATTCTGTACCATTCTGTACCATTCTGTACCATTCTGTACCCTCTTACTCTGTCTGATATCCTTCTCTCCCTGTCTCTAGGTTGGAATAGTGTGGAATGATTCTAGAGAGGAGGGGGTTGCATGCTTACTTGGAGGTGTGGTGTTTGAGAGCGATTCGCAAGACATTTGTCTCTGCAGCTGTTCGCGTTTCAAGTCGAGGGATTTTTCCATGGCAGACAGTTTTGTTCTCCGCACGGAGTAAGGGGTGGATCATGAGGCCCAATCAATTGCGGGTCTTTTTGTGCTCGTCAAGATTAATATTCAACTTATTCAACTACAGCTGGCTAACGAGTTCACTTTAAGATCTTGAAGGGAGTGCAACACAGCGCAACAAGTGTGGAACACAGCAATGCTCGGGGCTTCGCTGTTGTGCAAATGCGCTGACATGAACTGGCATAGGGAGCATCCAAAGAAATAGATACAAGCGTCCACAGAGGCCCAGAGCCAGGTTCCTTTAGGTTAGCTACAAAATATGCCGTGTATGAATCGGTAGGCACATGTCCGATTTTTTTTGTATTATTTCAGTTGGTCTTGGGGATGTTTCTACAAGAAGGACATGAAATTAGCTTATATACGGAGGGTACGGATGGCGGCATTAAGACGTTTCTTGGCATCTTTCACTAGCATGGTGGACAGCCCTGTGACAGTGTCATGACAGAAAACGGCTCCAGATCACAGAGCCACACCGGCTGTGAGAGCGAGCGCGATGAGCACAGTGTCACAGTGAGATTATTTTCCATCGCAGGTGATGAAATTTGCACCTTGCAGGTTCCTGTGAATGTCACTCTTGCTGGATTGAAAGATGAGCTGTCTCGTGTTTCTCACCAACTTGTTACCCAGTCTGACTGCTTGTGCTGCGGTGAAGAGACTTGGTGGGACGCTGGAAGCAAGCCTTTGCAGAGAATGAAAGTCAGTCTGCCGGGTGTCTCAGAGAGTGGGCTTGAAATTACTTGGGTGAAAAAAGAGTTGGATGCTGGAGATCAGTGCTTCTACATTGGCCCAAGCTTGGCCAGTAACAGTGTCGTTGAGCGTGGCGATGCTTGCCAGATCGCTGCCGCTGGGGGATGTGGGCATCTCAAGTACCGATCCGTTTTCTTCCCCAGGGCAAACATAACACTCATGGTACACGAGCAGCATTTGTCAAGATCCCCGCCCGGTTTAAAGTCACTTCCTTCAGGGTGCCAGGTAGGGGACATTTTCTTCTACACCGGCCCTCCTCGGAAGGGTTGCAATGGTACCATGTTGCTGCCTGGAACGCGTGGAGAGATTGTGGAAGCGGGTCTTATTGAAGGAAGTGTGCGCTTACATTTCCAGAACTTCCCGGGCCTCTGTTCTGTAGAGTTTCAGAACCTCGCCACAGATCCGCCAAAATTCCCGTGTTCTGCATTACTTCGACGATTCCTGCAGCGATTTGTCGTCAAGCTGTGTGGGGCCCTGTCTCGTTGAGACTTGATTCTGAAGGCTCGGAAGTTCACCAGATCGCGTCGAGAGACAGTCGAGAGAGGTCAAAATGTGGATTCCTTCGACACTGGACACGTATATATGGTTTTCTTTTTCCGCTTGAAGACAGACGAACTTCAGGTGATTTTGACTTATTTCCATATCTTTTGATTCGGTCCGCAGCTCTGTGAAGACAAGCTTCATACAAGCTGCCACCTTCAACATTTCCAGCAAACCACCTTATTTCGCATTGGTTCTAATCTTTGGATTGGCATCACAGAATTGATCCAGCAATTTCTAACATCCTGAAGCTTCCACACCCCTCAAGTAATCTCACAACCTTGTCAAAGGAAGTTTAGGGGGAGAAACTTCCGTGTTACGGACTTTTAGAATGTCAGGGAAAGAGTTAGTCAAAGAAAGAGTTAGTGAGGGAAAGAGTTAGTCAAAGAAAGAGTTAGTCAAAGAAAGAGTTAGCAAAGAAACAGTTAGTCAGGGAAAGAGTTAGTCAAAGAAAGAGTTAGTGAGGGAAAGAGTTAGTCAAAGAAAGAGTTAGTGAGGGCAAGAGTTAGTCAAAGAAAGAGTTAGTCAAAGAAAGAGTTAGTCAGGGAAAGAGTTAGTCAAAGAAAGAGTTAGTCAAAGAAAGAGTTAGTCAAAGAAAGAGTTAGCAAAGAAACAGTTAGTCAGGGAAAGAGTTAGTCAGAGAAAGAGTTAGTGAGGGAAAGAGTTAGTCAAAGAAAGAGTTAGTGAGGGAAAGAGTTAGTCAAAGAAAGAGTTAGTCAAAGAAAGAGCTAGTCAGGATATATGAGGTAGTCAAAGAAAGAGTTAGTGAGGGAAAGAGTTAGTCAAAGAAAGAGTTAGTGAGGGAAAGAGTTAGTGCTGGTGGATGAGTTGCCGATGGAATTCCATTGTGATTTGCAACTCTAGGATCGTTCCCTCACTGTAAATGGGATTGCAAGTGGTGCTGGTGGAGGAGTTGCCGATGGAGTTTTCGAGGAAGTCTCGCACGAAATGCGTTTTTGAATGTTTTTGAGAGATAGCAGATGCACGAAAGCCTATGTTTTTCCATACAAAGTGCGTCCCCGAACGTCGATGATCTACCTCTGCGGTGCGACGGTTGCGAGACGGTCTCGTGTGTGGTCGGATCATGGGCGGATCATGGGCGGATCATGGGCGGATTGGTCTCGGATCGGTTCCGCATTGTAAATGGGGTTTCAACTGTTTTTCGTGGATGTGTGGTCGACAGAATTCCATTGTGATTTGCAACTGTAGGATCGTTCCCGCAATGTAAATGGGATTGCAAGTGGTGCTGGTGGATGAGTTGCCGATGGAATTCCATTGTGATTTGCAACTCTAGGATCGTTCCCTCACTGTAAATGGGATTGCAAGTGGTGCTGGTGGAGGAGTTGCCGATGGAGGTTTGAAGGAAGTCTCGCACGAAATGCGTTTTTGAGAGATAGCAGATGCACGAAACCCTATGTTTTTCCATACAAAGTCCGTCCCCGAACCTCGATGATCTACCTCTGCGGTGCGACGGTTGCGAGACGGTCGCGTGTGTGGTCAGATCATGGGCGGATCATTCTCGGATCGGTTTCGCATTGTAAATGTGGTGTCACCTGTTTTTCGTGCATGCGCGGTCGACAGAATTCCATTGTGATTTGCAACTGTAGGATCGTTCCCGCATTGTAAATGGGGTTGCAAGTGGTGCTGGTGGATGAGTTGCTGATGGAATTCCATTGTGATTTGCAACTCTAGGATCGTTCCCGCAATGTAAATGGGATTGCAAGTGTTGCTGGTGGATGAGTTGCCGATGGAATTCCATTGTGCTTTGCAACTGTAGGATCGTTCCCGCAGTGTAAATGGCTGTGTCAAGGTTGCTTCGTGCGGTGGCTGCATTGGTAATACTATTGTCTTTGCAGCTGGACTTCGTAAATTGTATTGGAGTGGCTGCATGAAGGCTGCGACAGTGATTTGTCAGCAGATTTTCTCCATTTTGGCGCTAGTGATTTTCCTTCTAAAAATCCTTTTAAAAAGTGCTTCAAAATCGTCTTTTTTCGCTCTGGCGTCGAGATCCGGTTTTGGAGCTACAATTTCCGACGCTGTTGTGCGTAGTTCTGTTGTGTTTTGCAACTCAGTCTCTGCAGATCGCATTGTAATGGCTGTGTCAAGGTTGCTTCGTGCTGTGGCTGCATTGGTAATCCTATTGTCTTTTGCAGCTCGATCGCGTAAATCGTATTGGAGTGGCTGCATGAAGGCTGCCACAGTGATTTGTCAGCAGATTTTCTCCATTTTGGCGCTAGTGATTTTCCTTCTAAAAATCCTTTTAAAAAAGTGCTTCAAAATCGTCTTTTTTTCGCTCTGGCGTCGAGATCCGGTTTTGGAGCTACAATTTCCGACGCCGTTGCGCGTAGTTCTATTGTGTTTTGCAACTCAGTCTCTGCAGATCGCATTGTAATGGCTGCGTCAAGGTTGCTTCGTGCTGTGGCTGCATTGGTAATACTATTGTCTTTTGCAGCTGGACTTCGTAAATCGTATTGGAGTGGCTGCATGAAGGCTGCGACATGGATTTGTTAGCAGATTTTCTCCATTTTGGCGCTAGTGATTTTCCTTCTAAAAATCCTTTTAAAAAGTGCTTCAAAATCATCTTTTTTTCGCTCTGGCGCGGAGATCCGGTTTTGGAGCTACAATTTCCGACGCCGTTGCGCGTAGTTCTATTGTGTTTTGCAACTCAGTCTCTGCAGATCGCATTGTAATGGCTGCGTCAAGGTTGCTTCCTGCTGTGGCTGCATTCGTAATACTATTGTCTTTTGCAGCTGGATCTCGTAAATCCTATTGGAGTGGCTGCATGAAGGCTGCGACAGTGATTTGTTAGCAGATTTTCTCCATTTTGGCGCTAGTGATTTTCCTTCTAAAAATCCTTTTAAAAAGTGCTTCAAAATCATCTTTTTTTCGCTCTGGCGTCGAGATCCGGTTTTGGAGCTACAATTTCCGACGCCGTTGTGCGTAGTTCTGTTGTGTTTTGCAACTCAGTCTCTGCAGATCACATTGTAATGGCTGCGTCAAGGTTGCGTCGTACTGTGGCTGCATTTGTCATACTATTGTCTTTTGCAGCTGGATCTCGGAAATCGTCTTGGAGTGGCTGCATGAAGGCTGCGAAATGGATTTGTTAGCAGATTTTCTCCATTTTGGCACTAGTGTTTTTTTTGTTGCACGTAGGTTTAGAGCAGTGGGAAGTGTGGGGCGTAAAGAGTGCAGTGTGAAGTGTGAAGTGTGAAGAAAGCAGTGGGAAGTGAAAAGTGTGAAGTGTGGAGTGTGAAGTGTGGAGTGTGAAGTTTCAGTTTGGAGTGCGAAGAGCGCAGTGTGAAGTGTGAAGTGTGAAGTGTGAGGTGTGGAGTGTGAAGGAAGCAGTGAGAAGTGAGAAGTGTGAAGTGTGAAGTGTGGAGTGTGAAGTGTGGAGTGTGAAGTTTCAGTTTGGAGTGCGAAGAGCGCAGTGTGAAGTGTGAAGTGTGAAGTGTGAGGTTTGGAGTGTGAAGGAAGCAGTGAGAAGTGAGAAGTGTGAAGTGTGAAGTGTGGAGTGTGAAGTTTGAAGTGTGGAGTGCGAAGTTTGAAGTGTGGAGTGCGAAGAGTGCAGTGTGAAGTGTGGAGTGTGGAGTGTGAAGACTTTGCTTCGTCTCTCGCTGAAAAAATCAAACGGTTGTCGAGGGAAGGACACGGTCGGGACAGGGTGTCTTTGAACTATAGGTCATTTATGTTTGGGAAACTTCCGCCGCCGGCTTGCCCGGGTCTATGTCACTGACACATCTAGTCATTGCGGATAGCTTCTTTGCCATTTGCCATGACACATGGTTCAGCTATGTCGTTGGCCCGGCGCAGCGCGTTGTTTGCTGTAAGGACGGCTTGCTGGAACTTGATTTTGTTTGGAGAGCGCTTTCTTCTGTGTCGCTTAGTCGTTGCTTCGTACAGTACTTTACCATACTTTAGCAGTATTTTGTGAAAGGAGACTTGTGTGGCACAATGTTCGATGCTGTGGAGCTCCAAAGGTCAGCGCAGAACCATTTACGCTAACAGGAAGTAAAGAAAAACACTGATTCATGCATGGCTTTCGTCTCTGAAACAAGCTCGTGCTTCTATTGGGTTATTATTCCGAGGGAGTACTGCTTAATTCTTTTGCCCAAACTTTCTCAATCTTCTCCCTGGTTGTTATTTTCAAAGACTTTGAAGGATTGTGAGATACTTTGTATCAAGGAATATCGCAGCTTTGGCCATGCCTTTGGCCTTCGTTAGATCCTCTTCCTTGTCCGAAGGCACTGGCTGCGTTTCCACGACCCCGACGGATGGCAAGTGCTCCACATCCTGGCATTTCACCTGAGGAGGGCTGAGTCCGAGAATTGGCATAGGGACCCATTGGGAGACATTGGAAATCATTGGAACAAGGTCAGAAATGTGAGAAATACAAGAGGAAAGCAAACAGAAGGACCTAAGCACCTAATAACCTAATAGAAATGAAACACGGCATTAAAAGACCAAAGCATGCGTAATCTACTGAGGGTAGAGTCGGGTAGAGTGAGGCAACTGTGGCTTTTGTTTTTGTGTTTTGGCAGCCAGAACTGTTTTGACAAATGCTGAAGCCGTACTGATTTTGTGGATGACCAAGTAATTTTTGATGTGACGCAGTCTGATCTTTTACAAGTACGTATCATATAATAATTAATAGTGCATGTGTCACAGTATGTATGTGTGTTTGTAGTGTGTGCGATTCTGTGCAATAAAGCAAAGCAATGTTCTGGTTTTCCTTCTGGTAAGCGTTTCTGTTTAACATGTCTATGCACATAGTATGCACAATTTTCTTCCATCATATACTAACATACAAAAACACACGTACAGTATACCGTAGATATATACATACGATTGAATACGACGTACATGCACATGCAAATTCATATTATGTATGTACCGGGTATACCGGTTCAAGTTGCTGTAGGTAAGCACACTTCCCACCTGTTTGCATACTCTAATCAGACTCTAATCTTCTTCTATCTTCTTCTCCTACTTGTACCTGGGATCGGGGAGACCTGGGATCGGGGAGAGGTCGATGCAAGTGATACTTTGGTGTGGCAAGCACGGACTTTTTTCTGCAAACTTCTACTGTAGTTTGTGCATGTTTGTGCAAAACATATCTCGTTTTGTACCAGGTTTTTCTCCAGGATCGTACCAGGATTCCCTGGGTTTTCCTCCCAAACCCCAAGAGATCCCGGCTATTGGGGGAACCTAGGGTCTTGAGCCTATATGATATGCAAATAGTTCTCCAAGCAACGACACCCCTGCACAGAACCCGAATTTCGTGGACTTGCCGGCATTGGTGAAGCAACTCTGTGTGTACCTTAGCACTGCTTGGTCTGCTTGCATATTTCTGAATCAAGAGCTGGGAGCCAGAATCAGAAGGATCATGATATCGACATGTCGAATGAAGCCGACAATGAAGCTTCGAATGAAATCGAAGAGCCAATTTTGAAGGTGATGAGCTTCCTCCTCATCCTGCCGTTGGTGCTCCGATCAATGGAGCGGTTGTTGCCAGAGTGAAGGAGGCCCGGGGCCTACCCAACCAGCTGGCAGGGACCTGATGCTTTGCGCTCTGGGCAGCTGATTTGCTGTAATTACTCTCTTGATGTCTCCCCTGAGACGTTTGGGATGCCAGTTTGATCAGTTTGGTGGTGTTGAGTATCTGTATATCACATAGAGATATGATGAAAACATGTGTACATAGAGTTGCATACATGATCCTGGTCCTGTGTCCCTTAACAACTGGTCACCAGTTCCAATACGGTTTGCAGTTGCACTGACTGCTTGTTTCCCATGTGTCCCCTGGTTATCTCTCATTTCAATCCCACATGTCTCCGTTTTTCCTCATTGTCATTTGCTTAGTAGAGGGATCCAGTTCCGTCATGATTTGCAGTCTTCCTGGCTTGTCTTTGATTTGTCCCCCCCCACTAACCTTTCCGACTTGTCTCCATCTCTTTCTTTTCTTTCTTTCTCATTTGCGTAGTAAAAAGGGCTCCAGTGTCACGTTATTGGGCCCTGGCTTGTCTCCCATGTGTTGCCCACTTGCCACTTGTCTCTAGCTGTCCCCCTTTTGATTTCCATGCAAAGGAATTAATTCGGTTCATCAAACACAGTCGTTTGCGTTTGCGGGGATAATTTCCATCTTTCTATGCAGATAATGTCTCTGTTTTCACCGCAAAATGCATGAGATTGCATGAGTATGCATGTATGTATAGAGGTTCACATCACATATCCATATTTAGATTTACACACTGTATTTCCCACATACTTATACATCTATCGTTGTTTGTCTGAAAGTGTCAAACTGGTTCCATCCATTCTTTCTCTGTGTGTGTTGGAAAGATTGAACCCTGGAGGTCCTGCAACAGACACGGCTGAATCCTCGCGAGTGGGAGCAGCATGCGGTATATCGACGTGGTCGGTACACCAGGTGACAGGGATGCGTATGACTGTATGCTAAGATATGACTGTATGCTAAGACTCTTGTTACCAAACATTAGTTGGTTTATGCTGGTTGTTTATGCTTGTGCCTCTGTACGTTTGCAGCTTTTGTGGCACGTTGATCTTATTGAGTGGACAGGAACATAGTTGGCTACTCGCCCAACCAATTCATTGCTCTATCCTTAAGAGACGGAAACTGCTGAAGTCATGCCAACGAATGGCTTGCACATTTCGGTAGTTCATGTGGTGCGCAAATCATCTCCATCATCTCGATCATGTCGAATCTCAACTTGCTCTTTTTCAGTTTTACAGCTTGAAATTTCGCCCTGACCCGTCCGAGGCCCTGCTCTTGTGTTGGGAGAAAGGCCAGCAGAGCCCCATCCACGATCATTCAGGCACCGTCGTACAGTATCGTACAGTACATTTCGCGACAACTTGACACTTGACGTTGTCAAAGTCTTGCCTTCTTGCACGCTTTGGCGCGTACATGAACGAATGCAGTCGTGCACACTAAGCGTTCTAGCTCAATCAAGCCGTGGGACTAGTTTAGTAAGTTTAGTTTGATTAACAGTTTGATCTAATTGGTCAGACCAGTCCAGTCAGACCCATCCTATCCCATCGTGGTATGTTCAGGTGCTCATTGCTTCATCAAGATGCTGAGCGGTCAGCTTCGGGCAGCTTACTTGGTCTCGTTGCATTGTGGACGGTTTGGTGTGCATGACACGGGCGACACATGCCGTAGACCCATGTTTTCCATGTTTTCCATGGGGCCTGGCCTCACGTTTTCAGTCACGAGGAGAGGAAATTTGCTTGGGCAGCGGATGGCACTGTTGGTGCAGAGGTGGATCCGATTCTTGTGACGACACGCAGACAGTGCCACATACAATGCGTTGCGAATGTTGTGACAAGCTGTGTGCTATGTACCAGGTGATGGAAGAAGCGCCTGTTTTGGATGCGTCGAAGCTGGAGAAGAGTGTCTGTCTCTCAGTGTCGCAGAGACAAAAGCTGCAGCAAACATGAACTAAAATGGATATCGCAGATTTCAAAAATATACACTGGATACAATCTGGATACACTGCTCTCTTTGAAATCGGATCGATTTGACTTACGAAGCCGTTGTAGTGACACGGTGCGGATGTTGAAATGCCGGCAGCCGTCTATGAGCCTGATGTTTGGCTCGAGTGCGGTCGACAACTGCATTGCATGGTGACATGAGATTGACAGATTCGGCTCATTGAAACCATTCAAAATTCAAACTAATATGTCTGGAGAAACCATGTCGCTGCACACTCATTCTGCTACATTGACGGAATGGAAAATTATGGTCCTGTCAAACCCTTTCTAGACCTAAGCAAGGTAGGCAACAAGTACCTTTCTCCATCTTTCTCAGTTTTTCTCCATTTTTCTCCTGCATTTTGCTAGGGCAGTTTGATGGCTTCAGATGTGTCTCCACGGCAGACAGACCCATGGCTGCCACATGATGAGGCCGCAGACCTGCACCAGTCGTAGTCGTCCAAGTCGTCCAAGTCGTCCAAGTCGTCCAAGTCGTCCAAGTCGTCCAAGTCGTAGCAGTCGTAGCAGTCCAAGTGCCGCAGGAAGAAGCGGACGAGAGCCTGTCAGATGCCTCTGCCTGGCTATCCTGGCTTCGAGAAGATGAGCTTCAACTGAATAGAACAGAAAGAACGAATGAATGACATGACATGACATGACATGAATGAATGAATGCGGTTGGACAGATTCACGTGAGCACCCAAGCTGCCTAAGTCTGATCATTTTTCCTTCTGGATTGACTTGCCGTGTTTTTCCAGATGCAGAGCAAGTTGAACAGATTTTGTAGCTATGAAATAAGAAAAATATAGAAAAACAACTTGGGAGTTCACTATCAGCGTCATGGCCAAGTAGGATATTTTTGAAATGATTCGGGCGTGTCCTTTCAGTTCAGGCTTCTGGAAAGGTCTTGCATAATTCTTGCATTGGATTCAGAGCCAACAGTTTTGAAAGACAAGGTGGACACGGTCTTCTCACATCTCACACAGTTCAAAGACAGGGTTCCACACTCCACCGTGACATGTTTTGGTGATTGGGTCCTTCACAAAGAGACGAAGGCTGGCTTGATGCCAGCTCATATATGAAGACCTAAACAGCTGTAACTCTCACATTGAAGTTCTCAAGTCTTAAGTCTTAAAGTGCCTGGATGCAAAGCTCTGGAAGGAAGAGTCTGAGAGTTTTGGAATGTTTTGGGAATGAACAGCAACCGACTCCTTCTACATCCTTGTGCATCCTTTTACTAAATTTATGTATCCATAAGGTCCGATTTCTAAAGTTCTAAAGTCTGAGTCTATAAACGATAAAAGATCAAAGTCATCAAAGTTGCTTGGCCAGTGGCTAAGGTCAAAGTGCAGGGCTGCGCCTGGCTCCTTGCCTCTATGGCGGTATTGAGGTGCCGCACAGATCACACAGCGCAGTGAGCACTTGTGCTCGGTGCCGTAAGAAGCTGTGGAAAGTGCAGACAGTGACATCTGCAAAACAACATACCAGTATTATGAGATTCTGAAATATGATATTATTTGCATGTCTTGCGATGTAATGCAAAGCAGGATCTCAGAATTATTTGATAGCAGTGACAATTAAAGGATCAGATAACCTGAGATAAATCACAGCAAAAAGAATCTGAGGCAGGAGACTGGGCAGAGCATGAAAGAAACAGGTGAAGAGACAAACGGAGATAAAGAGAGGGAAAGAGGTTCCCTGAGAAGAGATATAATGAGACTTGAAGGAGGGCAGTGGAGAAGTTGAGATTGGGACCAGATAGGATGAGGCTTGAAGAGAAATTCAAATGATGAAGTTGGATAGTGGAAAGAAGTAGTGGAAAGAAGTTTTCAATGAGTCGGATAAAGGAAAGGGTGACAGAGCTGCCCATGTAGGTAGTAAAGAGTAAGAAAGTGAAATAAAGATGAAGTGATAGAAAGAAGTAGGTAGCAGCGATGAGTTGAGATGTGAGTCAGATAGAGACAAGCCGATACAGAAAAGTGCATCGTCTCGTCCAAGTTGAGAAGGTTCAGATCAAGACAAGTTGAAATAGGTTCAAAGAGAAGGGATCAGCAAAGGAGAGTGAGATAGACAGGGATGAAGATATATTTGATTCCATTGGAGACAAGTCAAACCGCTATTTGGAAAGCAGCTTGGAATGCATTTGACAAGCACCAAGTGCTGCGCTTACCGTACCATGCACACTGGGCAGAAAACAACGTTTGCCACACTGTAACCCAATGCGCAAAGCCAACCGCCAGACCCAATAGAGTCAATAGAGTCTCCCAACATGCACCACCTGGCAAATGCATGCAAACGATATGAACAAATTGTGATAGAGATAAGATTGATAGATGTAAGCTTGGTGGAGATAAGTTTGATAGAGAGAAGGTATGATAGAGAAACAACTTGGAAATGATAAAATTGATAGGGATATGGGATAAGTAAGAATCAAGACAAGTTTGATGAGTATAAGGAGGGATAAACTAAGTTTGATAGAGCTAATAAAGGGATGTAAAGGGCTGCCGGGGGGAACGGGATAAGGTAACTGTGAGAGCAAACATGCTGGTCCCCGCGCCTCCGAGGCCCACCTGCCTCTGGAAAAGTAGCCCTTGCAGCCAACAGCTTTCGCGGGATGCGACACATTGCGACACATTGCGACACAAAATTTCTTCTTCTGGTTCTCCTCCTTCTTGCTGCTTCTTCCCTGTTGCTCTTGCCCTTGTTCTCGTTCTTGGAATTTGCTGTACTCTTGTTCGTGTTCTTGTTCTGGCTCTCCTTACTTCTTCTTCCTCCTCCTCTTGTTCTTGCTTTTGTTCTTCTTTTTCTTCTTCTTCTTCTTCTTGCTTCTTCCTCTTGTTCTCGTTGTTGTTCTTGCGCTTTTCGTGCCGTTCTTGCTCTTGTTCTCGTTCTTGTTCTTGCTCTTGTTCATTTCTTCTCTGATGCGCTCCCCTGCAGCAGCCTGGGATCGGCGGATATAGAGATCAGTTTGATAGACGTAATGTATCAGAGAGATAAGTTATGAAAAACATAAATTTGACCAAGAACAATGTGGTAGATACCGTTTTGAAAGAGAGAAGATATCACAGACACAACAGATCATTTGCAAAAAAATGGAAAGGGCGGGATGCATGACCACAAAAAACCACACGGATGTTGGGAAAACTAAAGTACCGAAAGAATTGCAGAAATTTGCCGGTCCTCCAAGAGCATTTGACAGGCAAGCGTGGACTGCTGATTCGATATGCCTTGGCTTGGCCGGATATCTTTTTGAAAACCAATTTGGGCATTGCGGCCCGGCTGAGACAGGCATAGTTTTTGCTTTAGCAAAGCGCAACAGGACAAGTCCACACACACACACACACACGCAAATCCAACATTGCCCTCAGGTTTGGTTGGATGGTGCTTGGCCACATCACTCAGCTTGGCGTGGCTTCTCCTGGATTTGCAGATGGTTTTCACCTCTGCGCCATGGTCAAGTTATCACAGTGTTTTATGAGGTTCATGGAACATTTATGTTGTTTTTTGTGTGAAAAATGGACTGATTTTGAAGGATTGACTTGGCCATCTTGGCTTCAACAAACTCTTCTAGCTCTATAAGCTGAGGAACAGAGGGCCATGCGCTTCCCTCCGTGGAGCATCCTAGTGCTCCTTGGCATTGTTTTTCACCAGTTTTGCATCACCATTATGAGTCAGGTCCGGGGAATTTGTAGCCCTATCGAACTGGAAAAGTAGTCTTGGCATCAGGTTTAGAATTTATTGTAAGATGTCGAGAATTGGCCGTATTTACCCTTTTCATGCCGCTGAGTTTGGAATGTGTCATTCAGTGGCAGTATCCTGGTTGCGGGGAAATCAAACAGACTGGGACGGAATTTTGATGGCATATTTTGATGTGTCACCATCCAAAAATAACCTCGGATGAGGGACATTCAAACGTCTCTCGGACATTACTGGCAGATTAGCTTCCTCTTGCAGCCCTCCTCCCAGCACTCCTAGCACTTCTTCCAGTCTAGATCTCTGGAGAAACTTTCTTGGCTGGTGATCATGGGGATCTGTTGAGACGGTGGCATGATTTTGAGCGCAGGATCAGAATTCATGTGCATTTTGCTTGACCAAAAGCCGAAAAGCCATTAAACAATCACGCTTTTGACACGCGCACATTGGCCAAGCTCCATTTGCATGCACGTTTGACATCGTTTGACTGTATTTTGCCAACATGATATGTTTCTCTCAGAGTTTTTTTTTGGAGCACGACTGGCGCTTTTCCGCCTAGGCTCGGCATTTGTTTTCATGGACATAGTTTCCCGTGTTTACTGGGTTTGAATATGCAATTGCCACGGCTTCTTATGGACGACTAGGTGACTAGATTTGGAAATATACACAAACAATCAAACAAGAATACGTAGATTTATGTATGCATGCTGCATGCATGCATTGCACTACGTAACATTGCGTAACATTGCACAACATTATATTACGTAACAGAACCTTACAGTACATTTATAGTCCATTCCATTCAGTTACATGACACGACATGACACGACATGACATGACATGTCTCGACGTGAAATGACATGGCATGACATTGCATGACATGACATGACATTGCGTTAGATCAGCTAGGTTTCGTCACATTACATTGCATTACGCTGCATCACATCACGCACGACACGTTACATTATATTGCATTATATTGCATAGCGACAGAATTACACACCATGAAAAAACCATGCCATGCCAATGCCAATGCCTATGTCAATGCCAAACCCAACACACATGTATATGTACCTGCACACATTATACATACATTAAAAATCAAGCAAACAAACAGTGGCGTTCGTATGGTGAGCGAAGCATTGCCTTGTTTGTCGTGTTTTTCTTGGCCGCAGCTCTTGCGTAATTGAAAAACACCAGATGTTCGGCGTGTTCGGTCATTCTGAGGTTTGTGAAGCACCCTGCTCAAGTTGGGCAGTTGGCTCAGGCCCAGGAGATTCTTGCACGGCAGCATTGCAGCACCGCAGCGCTTGCGCACTGCAGCGCTTGCAGTGACACCTATTGACATGTCCAATGTATACACACGTATATACCGTATAGATGTACATATATATATACATGTATATATAATATGATATAACAAAATATGATATAATAACATATATAATTGAATATAGTCAAATATAATATAATAAAATATAATATAATATATGATGAAAGACAAATTATATACATATACATAATACATATAATATAATATAATACAATACAATATGATTAATATAATATGATATGATATAATATATAATATGTGATATACAGTACATGAATATAATATAACATAATATGAATGAATATGAATATGAATATGAATTATAAATTATAAATTATGAGTCATAAATATTAATAAAAAGGAACATATGAATACACATGAATACCCTTGTGTAGGCAGACACATACGTTGAATGCCGCCGGGCCTTTCGTGTCTACCTTGAAGCTTTTGCATTTCGTGTTCAGAACAGTTCACAACGTGCAAATTCGACCAAATTAGTTGGTACGTGCCAGTTGCAGTTGCTTTCCTTTGCACGTCGTTCCAAGGTCTGTGGTGATCTTTCTGGGCTACGATGGCCGGAGTTATGTCCGGAGAGTGAAGGCAGTGCGCTGTGAAAACGTCATGTGATTCACACCAAAAAAAGAAACAATTCCGGAATAGTTCAGATCTCAAATCTGTGAAATAACATGAAGCAAATGTTTGTTTAGTTTGCTTTGCAGGCCATTCATGAATGTGGCCCAGCGCTGCAGACAGAAACTTGGGCTGCGCGTAGCATATTCAATCATACCTTGTTGTGGGTGAATCGAGGCCCATCGCTTTCCTTGCGTCATTCTCCAGATTTGCGATCGGCATTGAATGCTTGAATTCACTTTTGTTGGTTCCATTCATCAAAGTGCTACTGTTGTTTCAAAGATAAAAAATGTCAAACTCTGTGTACAAATTGCAAGGGCAAAAAGGACCATTTCAGGTATATGCAAAAGTTACTGTAATCTCTTGTCCAGTTTTTTGGCGAGAGTTTGATTAGAGACACTTCCAACCCCGAAAAACACATCTCTGATATTCTCAGATGTCACATCAGATGTCACATCAGATGTCACATCAGTCACATCTCCAATGGAGAATCTGAGAATCGATTCTTGGCGGATCGGATCGCAATCGAGGTCGGGGACCTGCCAGGTGCTCCAGACGATCAGCCGCTGTACAGCGCCGATGGTAGTGCAAACTGGCTGGATCCCAGTGCTGTCCGGGGCACGTGTTTTGGCTGCACTTGTGGCAAAATGGACAAAGATGACAAACACACTACAAACATATTTAGGAAACAAATCTATTCATTTTGTATTAATTTTGCGCCTTATGAAATTGATTGAAATTGAGTACATTTAGTTTATATTGAATTATATTATTTATGTGTGTAGATGGGGAGGGCAGTTACACGCCAGCAGAAGCTGTGCCATTTCAAGATGGGCATGGGTGATATGCCTTTGCCAGTATGATATGGTATGATATGGTATGATTAAGAAACAGGGAAGCAGATGGAAACAGCATTTTGTAGTTGTTCATGGCCTGAAAGGTTTGAGTGTGATCAGTATTGGCACTAGCGACATCGCACACGACAGTGAAGAGGACATTGAGCATAGCTGATGAGAAGGTAGAGACAAAAAGGGAGTGAATAGCTTTGAACAAGAGGCTGATTTGTTATTTTTGTCAAAGTTTTCCTTCAATTCCAAGTGGAAAAACACGATAAAGGTCCGGCCAGTCCGCCAGTCCATCCGCAGAACAGAAATAAACATCCCACGAGGCTGGCAGCCGGACCGTTTCCCCTTCAGCAAGTCTTGCCGCTTGACATTTGGAGCAGGGCGCGGCAGCATGAGATTCAGCATCTCATGTAGGCCCAATGTAGGTCCCAGAAAACAGCTGTGGAAATGTCGGTGTGTATTGATGTTGTTTCGAGTTTTGCAATCTTCGCTTAGACTTTATCCGAAAATTTGTAAACGGTACATGCCATTCTCAATAATTGATGGACAACCATAACCCATGTACCGTATACCATCTTTTGACATTGGACCATTGCATACAGATTGTTGGCTAAGGAAAGTGGTGCTAGCATTCATGATCTTGAGCCCCGCGATGGCATTTTCCTTTTTCGTCACTTGGCCAAAAAACCAAGCATAAAGATGCAGGTAGACGGAAGTGTCTGTAAAGTAAGGGGCGAAACAAAGAGCAAGGCAGGCGAAGAGTGAATCCAAACTCTGCCACGCGTTCATTTGCTGAGGATTTGCTGTTGTTTTTTTTTCCGCAACTTTCTTAGACATTGCTATTCAGCCTTGAATCTGAGGTTACCAGCCAGCCGATTGTGATGTTGTGGCTGATGTTTCTCGGTCAAGTCACGAGAAACTAACAGGCTGTGAAACAAGGCACGGCACTTGAAGGAAAGGATGTTGTGGCGAAGATGTGCAACGCAGCAAGTAGGCGATAGCCCATAAAAACAAACACAATTTTCAAGATGAACCGCGGGTGCGTCAGAAGACTCTTTCGGGTAACCTCAGAGTCTCAGAATGATTTGCCCCTGGTGCATTTACAAAGCAAAAGACATTTTTGTTGCTTTTTCCTCAACATTTGTTGTGTCAGGTTCTTGGTTTTTATTTTCGCATCAGGATCTCCGCCCTTCCGCGCCTTCGCCATGCTTCTCAACTTGTCTCAGTATCAACTTACATATTTCTATCAACTTATGACTTATTTGATCTCTTTCATTTTGATCAGCCATCACCTTTCAACTTAGTCAACTTATCGCCATCAACTTGTGTCAGACAGTTTATCCTTGTCAACTTATTGATAAGGTTTGCAGGCGGCAATGCTGTTGTTTGTACTTTCCGTATGTGTTCGATGGCAAAGAATGCGCACGTCATGATGGGAGAAAACTTGTCCACACCAGCTTCCAAAAGCTGGAGCCACATGCGCGTTAGCAAGTTTTGTGGCGGATATGAATCGCCAATCGCGAGAAAACTTTGATTATATAAGTTATATATATAATATATACCCCCCCAGGTAGATCCAATCCCCTCTCAAAGCAACAACGGCATGTAATGTGCTGCCGGACTGCTAGATATTCCCAACACAAGCACCTCACACCAACAACCTGTTGGGCTGCGGCTTGAACTCTCGTGTTTGCAGGTTTTAGCCATATTTGGCCAAAATCGCAAAAGAGATTATCAGCGTCATTGGTTCGTGAGGTCTACAAATGATCGAGTATTTCACATGTTTGAAATGACTTCAGCAGCCATCGCGTCCCTCATGTTGTTGTTTTTTGTTTAAAGACCCAGTATTTCGCAAAAAGGCAGGTGTCCTTTCAAATTCTGGTGATCCTTCAAGCATCAGATGAACTCTTCTTTTTAGTGGATAGGGAACATGAACATTTAAACCGTGCAACATTCCGTTGAAGCAACAAAACCGTCCAAAATATGCCCTAATACCAGTAACTCTTTGAAAGCTGCAACCCCTCTCCCACACATGTAGTGTGGCTTTGAACGCACAGTCTGCTCTTCGAGAACCATTTCTTTTCTGCTGAAGCCTCTTCTATAAACAGATAATATGTCAGTCAACAAGTTGAGTATACACCGCTGTTAAAAGCACGGTATTCTTTGAAGGAACCATGCATTTTCTTGCAACATATTCAAGAAAACATCCTGATACCAGAGGTTCTCTTTCAAATAGATGCAGTATATGCCTGAATCACGAACACTTTTTCAAATATGTAGCATTCATTGAAAGGGGAACACTTGGTCTTGTAATAAGATATTTTTGATTTCAATGTGGTGATTAGTCGAAATTTAAGCTTTTGTTTGAAACAAACACTTTTAATGGAAAGTATGCAGAACACATATGTCTACTGTCTATTCCGGAGAATGAACAAAAACACAGCAGCCAAAACAGTGAATCTATGAAGGCGGGGACATGTGTATCGCGTTGATATTACCCTCAAACAGGTTCGAAAGTTGATAACAGGAGACTTGGATTTGCAGGGCTGTGCCCTGTGAAGCTCTTTGCAAACATCCCAGGAAACATGGTCCCGATTGTCCCAGTTCTCCATATATTTTGAAGAGGCAAACCAGTCAAACCAGTCAAACCAGGCAAACTTGAGTTTCTTTGATTTGCAAATCTGTTTGGATTCTTCTTGATCTGCAAATCTATCGTTGTCGCTTTCTTCTCGCTAGGTTTCTCTGCAGCCTGGCCTGGAGTTGTATCTTCAGTCCCATGTCCTGATGCTCGAGCTGAGTCCAACTGAGCACGGGTTCTTCCCACCTGTTCTCGGACGTGAATTGGTAAACAGGGTGTTAAAGGTGTGAACAGTGTTGCTGTTGTTTGGCAAGTTGTCAAGCACATCATGTATATGCACATTAACTATATAATATATGTATATGTATATACTGTGTGTATATATATATATACACATACACACATAGATATACACAGATATACACAGATATACACACACAGATATATACATATGACACATGTAAATGTAGAGGTAGAGAGAGAAAAGAGCACCAAGCGTCCAAGCATGATTTTGCACGCTCGGTTCTTAAAAGTTTATCACACAGCTGTTCATGTTTTCGCAGAAGGAGAGAACAAGTGTGCAGTTTGCCTCGCTTATGGAGTCTCACCAAAGAACAAGTTTCACTTCGTAGATAGCATGCTACGTCATGCTACCTCCCGAGCCCCTTCAGATTGTGTTTACCCTTTGTCAGATTTGTTTTTTCAAGAAATTACTTTTCCCTTTTGAGGATTCATGCTGGAACCATCTGCTCTCCCTGTTTTGGCCAAGAGCCTGCTCGGACTCTAGGGGTTTTAAGCAGTGACTCGCGCGACACATGGCAACATCAAAATTAGTTACATTGATTTCCGTTGATTTCAATGCTTGTTGGAATTATGCTGAAAGGAGGCAGAGACTGATTGACCTAACGATTTGGAGTGATAGTGCTGGATGGTGAATGCTGTGCATACATGCATATCATGGCGCTTCTCCCTGTTTGTGTGTGTGTTTTTTTTTTAAATACGGAGGAGTGCGCTTAACTGAATTGAAAGCATGCCTCTTGTTTTTTTGCAGGCACCCTGCTTTGCACATCGGGAATTCCAAAATCAGAGTATTTCAAAGACTTGAGTGACTTGAACTTAGGTGAGCTTTATGCATGATTCCCTCGGCCTTCATCGCATCGAGAACCCCAGCAGTACTGAGGACAGGGCTTGGAGCACTTCACTGCGACCCACTGAAAAATGGCTTCGTTCAATCCATATTTTTGTTCTTCACAGTGTATTTTGAAAACATGTTTCAGCTTGTTGCCGGAGACAGCGCGGGATTCAAGCGCTCTGCTTTGCGAGGTGGCAGTCTCTTTGCACATCTACAGTCCTCCTTTCCGGGAGTGCTTGGTCTTCCCGCCCACTGGCGGTACTCCAAAGTCAGGGCCTTGCAGAGTATGGTCCTGTTGTGTTGTGATCATCTGTGATCTGTTTTGATTTCAGGGCTGTTGACAGAAAGGGTAGCGCCACAGGACAGCTCCGATGGTCAGCATTTTCGAGCCAGAATCAGCTCGAAAGGCTTTTTTTGGGCGGGAAATATTTGCGCCGAGAGGGGAAACTGAAGAAACCCAACCAGGACACACAAAAAGACGTTGGGAGCCGAAACACATGAATGTAGAGGGGCCTTTGCAATGTCCGCAGTGTTAGAGATCATTCTGAGATCATTAGTTTCGTTTCTATGTTTTTACCTGCTTTCTGTCCCTTACTCCTGGAGGCTGCTGAAGATGATGCATCTATCAGCCTGTTTGAACCTCAGAATTCATGCACCATCCTCGGTGCAGCAGCTTTGACTGGGATGAAGCGAGAACCACGCATGGGAGCATGGTAAGCAGAGGGGATTTTAAGATGAATCTATGATAATCTATGTATGTATACTGTATCGTGTGTTTCTTCGCCTTCCTGAAAGGCAGGCTTGTAGGCAGAGTTAAACTTAGGAACCAACGCGTGTGTGACCTGTGCAGAACCCGGAAAAGGTGAAAACCCTCAAACAATTTGCGAGTTATTGCTGTAGAGTAAGGGAATACAGAAGGCCTGCCGATAGGTTTCTCATGGAAGCGAAGTCCTGAAAAAAACTGCTTGGCCAAACTGGGCAATGCTTCGCCAAACTGCTGGGGCAATCTTGACAAACTGTTTAGCACAGGCAAGATTTTTGCAACAAGCTGGTGGAGCTGCGGAGTGAGGTGAAACCCTCAGTGCCTCCTGTTTTCGTCGAAAAACATTGCGCATTGCTCCAATTTGCTCCACAGAGCTAAGCTGCACTAAGGACGGTGTAAAGGCAAATTTGCATGCTGTGTTGGACTACTTGGTGTCTGCTGAGATGACAGATTTGGAGTGGGTCATTGCCTCAACTCCAGTCTTTTACTGAAATCTGAACCAAAGACTTCGTCAGACTTTACTGACCAAATTGTTTTTTGGAGGCTTCCTATGCCAGCCCAGCTCATTTCAGCGAGCCGGGAGCCCTGGCAAAGGGAAAAGAGGCTGCGACAATGTAGTCACAGTATGTCACAGTCGGCGATTTCCTGCGGTTTCAGGTTTTATCCTGTTCAACACATTATACACTGCGTGGAGCCAAGAACTTTAAGAGCTTTCTGCAAGTGTCTTGGCACTCAAGACATCAGGATTCTCGAAACCTCAATCCTTCAAAATTCGTCTGCAAAACTTCTATAAACTTCTATAAACTTGATCAATTGACAGGTGATGATGACTTTTCAGTGGTGGTTACCTGTTGGAGCGTGGGCCTTGATGGGCCTTGATGGGCCTTGATGGGCCACAAGGGTCACCAGTTGGTGAAATCTTTCAACTGCGAGCTGTGACGAGCTGTGAGGTCCTGGGCAAAAAGTGCCACCCCACACAGTTGGCCGAGGCGACTTGGCGACTTGGCGACTTGGCGACTTGATGTGTATTAAAAATGTTTTGTATTGTTTTGTATTGTTTTGTATTCACCGGACGGCTAGGATAAATATAAATAGTGCCGTTGCGACTTCCTCAGGAACAAGAACCGAATAGAACCTAATAGAAGCTAACAGTGTTTTGAAGCTGAATGTTTGCAGGCCGCATGATGTGGCTGAAGGTGGGAGATGTGTGGAGATGCAGCATTCGCACAGCGAGATGCATTGCGATCCTATGAGAAACCACAGCCACGGTATGCCACGGTCCGGCCGTGCTGCGCTGTTTCTTGTGGCCCGAAGGTCATGCATGGCAACCTTCTCTTCCAGGACGCCAACTGCAACTGCATCAGCCAAAAAGCATTGCACAGCAAGGCGGAAATGCGCACGACGCTCTGAAAACAGGCATCTAACATCTAGTACAACAAGCAAATTCATGCCTTGAAAAGGTAGTGAAACGTGGTAAATGTGAAAGAATCTTTGGGGACCGAAGAATACAAAAGTGCCGATCGCCCAAGCACCTTATTCGATAATACGCAGTCACCACAGAAGATTTCCCTCTCAGTTTGTATTCAAAGGCATATGCAGACACACTTGAGACGTCGTGATAGATTTCTCATTTTTTTTTCCCGGGAGCTTTTCCAAGCTAGACTTGGGTTAGCTTGGAGGCTTCAAAACCAAAAGACAAAAGACCACATAGCTCTACATACATGCTTTTTTTATCTTTTTTTTACAGGCCTTATGTCATTCGGACAGCAGGTGCATCACCAGGCCTTGTCATTCCCTGGTGATATCCGGGATCACGCTGTGGAGCTTCACATGCTCCATCTCCTTGCCGGTTAAGCAAAATGGATTCCTGTCAAACAGAGGTGGATAGATCCAGCTTGTGCCCGAGAATAGCAACATAGATGAAAAAAGTGACCTATTTTAGATCCAGCTTTCAAGTAATAGCCTGTCAGCACGTAGGCCATTGACTTGAAAATCCTGCGAATTTCATGCGGCACAAGCAAAAATCCACGTTTTGATCCTTGGTAACTTACTGAGAATCTGGTTCATAGTTCCTACATGTTCCTACATCCTCAGGATCCTGTTTGCGGCATTAAGTAGGATAAGTATGGATAAGTACAGTGATAAGTAGGATATAGCTCAGGCCCCAGGACCTGGGCCTCTCAAGCCTCTGTCTAAACAGCGTGAATCCTGCTGTGTTTCAAGAGCCTACAGCCGTGCAACCCCGCACCCAGCCACTGCGAAACCACGAAGCAGATATACAAGTATGATTAAGATTGATTAAGTATGTATACTTTAAGTATAGATTATATAAGTAGATAGTTTGATCATGTTTGATCCTTCTTTTGCAGTTCTACTGGCTGGTGAATATATTGTAATATAATGTTATGAACAACCTGGTTCATTTATTAAGACAACGAAAAACTGCATTTGAATTGAAAAGTGGCCCCACAATGCCAAACCAAGCCTAAGGAGAACCAGAAGCTCGATATCCAGCTGAGTATGTCACTTCACACGCTCGCAAACACACACAAACACAAACTCGCACAAGCACATATGTCATATATCTATCATATATGCTCGCACTCTAGAGATGCATTGGGACATTCAACATGTTTCAACAATTTCTTGTGGTCTGGTTGCTTCTCAGGAGTTTTCGCCTGGCCTATTCCCCTGGGAAAGCGATGTTTGCCACTGAGATGAACCGTGGTGTCTTACCCGTAGCGACTTTGCGCCGATTTGTTCGGAAAGGTTTTGCAAAAAAGAGTACATCTTGCAGGTTGTCTCATGTGATTTCCTTCTATTTTGGTGCAAGACTTCTTCCAAAGGGACAGAGTTTCTGAAGCAGAGATGCACAGAAAACAGCCTATTGAAAGCCGACATGCTATGTAGCCTTTGAGGGCTTTGACGGGCAGAGGAGTTGTTGAGAACAACTTGGGGAAGTTGATTGTGTTTCAGATTGTTCAAGCGTTAAGGTTTGCGGAACAACCAAATCCTTGTCATTGCGATGCAAGTAGGTTTTGTGGCAAAATCAATAGTTTAGTGACCGAAAGCAGGCTTGTGGGAGGGTTCATCTTATAAAGCACGGCGTACGGTCATGTCTAATGTCGTTTATGTTGAGGGGTGTTCTTTTTTCAGAACACGTTTATATCTTTGGCCCAGAACCTTCCGACCTTCGGAGGTTATTACAGACCTTCTCTCTTTAAAACCTTCCAGGATTCCAGGGACCTTCCATTTAAGCTGTTCTTCCCAAAGGGGGAGCGAGCGTTGAAGCGTGACGAGTGTTCCAACCCCCGCAGGCTTTGTTGCGAACAGGCCCCCAAACCCTTGCCTAGCCCAGGGGTTTCTGGAGGTTAGGACTGAACGACTTCAGCAATGCTAATTCAAGACGTTCAAGACGCTGCAGCTGTTAGGATAACTTTGATGGCAACCCTTTCGACCTGCTGGTTCCATTGTTTTTATGGTTTGCCTTTCCAACCTAACAGAAACATATAGAAACAACAGGTGTGACGGGTGTTTTGAACTTTCGACATTTTTTGACAGATATGAACTCTAAGGTTGAGCGGCAGACTGAGTTGGCTGAAGGCTCATCCAGCTTCTTGGAGGTGGTTCGGCCCACTGCGTACCAGCTTTTTGACTTGCTCGCGAAGTTATTGCTTGTTTTGGTGTGGATTGTCTTTGAACACATCATTTTCTCTGATTTTCTCTCCATATCATATCAGATCAGATCAGATCATGTCATATCATATCATATCATATGTTTGTTTTCAGAAATGTAGTAACTGTGTGCCTTGATGACCTTCTGATAGCGGCTTGTCAGGAGTGCGGTGTGAAGACCTCAGCCAAAAACGAGCCAAGTTGCAGCGTCGCATTTTCATTGACGGGGACAAAATCTTGCCATGCCAGAAATTTTCAGAAGCAAGCTTTTGGCCCTTTTGGCCCTTTTGGCCCTTTTGGCCCTTTTGGCCCTTTTGGCCCTTTTGGCCCTTTTGGCCCTTTTGGCCCTTTTGGCCCTTTTGGCCCTTTTGGCTGCGGCTACAAGTCGCTCAAGTGCTAAGGTGAGAATGCACGATTTGAAGAATATCAGTGACACCGAGCCAGCCGTTTCAGCAACGTTCTAAGCCACCGGATGAGTTTCGAATTCCAAGCACTTGAGCCAAACTTTCTTTGGATATGCTTACAGCGCCAAGATCCAAGTGTTTTCCCCACCTTTGACATCGCCCAACACCCAGTAGGGTTACCAGTTCGCAGGGTGCACAGGGTTCACAGGGTTCAAGTGTCAATGCAACGATGTCCACTTTGGATGAACTCAATGGATCCGTGTGCGGGACACGCTTGGTATCGCTTGGTCTCTCTTGGTCTGGCAGGTTTACTTTCCATTCAGAGAAAGGCACGGAGCGGCGGGATTTGCCTCGCATCGTGGCGCAGGCCCAGACGTGCCGAACTTATGCTAAGACAGTAACCATAGTAAGCAAACACAAAACAGTTTGTAAAAGTGTAACAGTTTCCCGAAAACATTCACAGGCAGTCTTTTTTTTTTTGAAAGTGGCATAAAAAGGAATAGAATTCATAGAAGAAGACTGGATCGATCCGACGTGTGAAACTTTGGTGTCAGGGACCTGCTGGCATGGAAAGCCTGTCAGCGTTTGAGCCTGAGAGGCATTTTTTGCTTGTGCGGGCAGGATCACATTGGCAGGGGATGTGTTCAGCGTGTTTGATCAGACATTGGGATGCCAGCAAAGATCAATGATGACCATGAGGACAACGCCAAGGATCATGCTGGGGATAATGATGGTGACCACGACGATGACAATGAAGACGGCAATGACGCTGTCTGTGATCATACTGGATGGATGAATGGGAGGGAGGGATGGATGGATGGATGAATGATGCACCGGTGAATAAAAGATCGCAGTTGTACGGATGACATATGTCACGTTGTTGTGATGCAGCTTCAAAGCTGGCAGTATTTTTTTCTGGCGAGACAATTTCCAGGCACGCGCAAGAAAGTTAGAATATTAGGAAGGTCAGCCGGCTAGAGACAGTGAGTAAAGAGGGTTGGGGGTGTAGCAGATGCATTGACCAGCAAAAACGAAAATAGGTTGTGGGTGAGGAGGCATGAGAATGGATATTTTTTGAGAGGGGATGGTGTTTGCGACGTTGGGATGAGGGAGGAGTGAAAGAGGGTAAAGAGGTGACAATGTTGCATGATGATGCAGGGTAGGCAAAATGTTTGCAATGTGGCTCGTCTCTGTTAGCAGTGGAGCTCTTCCGGACTAGGTTGCAATGCTTGGAGACGTGTTGTCAGAGGGTTGCCTGCTTCAACAAGTCTGCAAATGCTTTTTCGGCCTTTAGCAATCTTTTAGCACCTGCTTCCGCAACACCGATTGTGATGAATTGTCCAACAGCTGGGCTTTGGATTGCCTTCAACTGCTTTTCAGAAGCATATTAGGGACATTTTTTTTCCTTTTGCAACGCTCGTAAAAAACCAATCTGTTCCAAAAGCAATGCCTGTGAAAGTGATCGGCTCATGCATGGCGGGATAGCAGATCTTCCGATAGTTCCAACAAAAAGCCTTGTCAGCAGCAATTCTGGGAATTTCAGGGCGAAGACAAATTTGAGAGAAGCACTTGAGTGTTTCGAGGAAAAACACCAAGCGCTTTGTTTTTTTTGATTTTAAAGGATTTTTGTTTGCAAAGTTTTTGGGAAACCAAAAATGGCCTTTGACCAGAGAAGTTTTCGATTGCTGCAACCTGCTTGTGGCAGTTTGGGAGGCAAACCTTGATGTAGTTGCGAAGCCTTCTGGTTGGTAGTTGTTTTGAGTTTATGCCTCGCCTGGGTTGCCTCCCTTGGATACATTGGAGCTGCTACCAGAGGGCACGAACTAGTTGCTCCATGCATCGGTCAACATGAAGGAACTGGGATAGGAAGCAAGACCAACCAATCGGTCAACTGTTTGTTTCCATTTTGCGCCCTCACTTCTTCAACAATGCATACAAACATTTTGCTGTGTGGAACAGCCTTTCCATTTGATGAATCGCGCTCATTGACCGGTCCTGCAGCGATAACAGTATCAGGCCACCTATTCCTACAGACCTCCGTTTGAAACATTCTCTGCTCTTCACCTTTGCTTTTTCATTCCCTCGCGGCCCAACATTCTGCCCTTCATTCTTCCCCCCGCACCTGATTTCCGATTCTTTCAGCAGTTACGTTCGCTTTCCCCTTTCTCAACCCTTCTGAACCCTTAGGCGTTCCATGGGGCGAACAGCTGGACGATGGCTGGAAACTTGGAAGTCGATGAAGTCGACAGTGATGAGCCGAGCCAAGTTCAACATGTTCAACGTCAGAGAACCGACGCGATGAAGCGATAAAGCGATGAAGCGATGTTTTTGACACTGTTCAGTGAGTTCAGGTTTCTATCGTTCCGTGGGTTGCAGAGCCTGTTGGAAGCTCATGTTTTTTATTTGTTAGAACCATGAGACAACTGGATGCTGGCTGATAGAGTTTTTGGCTGCTTGAGTTTGGAGTATCCTTTCATGTCCCAATACTCAATGAATATAGTATGTGTTTATATATGTTTGTGCATTTTGCGCTTGGTTTGAGGCTGAATGAGGAGTTTTCGAGACCTGAGTGGAAGCCAAACACAATCGCAACGCTCCTCACCAAGGCGTGGGAACAAGTGGCTCCAGTTGCGGACAGGATCTAGTCATATCTAGTCCACAAATGTCCACAAGACAAACAACTTGGTGGCCTTTGTTTGGATCTCTTTCAAAGGTAAGGTTTTACGGTTTTGCATGGTTTTGCCATTCTTTGTTCCGCGAAGCTCTAAAGGGCGCTTTGCGACGGTGTAGTGGCTACTCTTTGTCTTGTTGAGTGGATTCTTTTTGGCCTTGGGCTGAAATTTGCAGGCAAGAATCAGGGGCACCAGAGTCCAAATATTTCTGGATGTTCCAAAATGCATTCATATAGTGCGACAGCAGTCTGGCCCGCCAAGTGCACTGCGCCTGTGCAACATTCACTGCAACATTCACACCACATCCAGCCAGTGTGCAGTTACAAAATGGGATACAGTAAATTCTGATCGTAAGAGGGTCAAGGCTCCTAAGATGTTTTTCCACCGCTTTAATGTTTGCAGCCATTGGCATTCTGGCGCCCTTGACATACAGTGTCTTTGCCCGCCATTTTGCTTTGAGATGTTTACGCTTTGTTGCAACAAGCATATTGTGTAGTTGCCTCTAGCATAAGGGTCTCTTGGTGCAAAACGCTGCCTTGTGTAAGAGGCTATTGGTGAAAAAGATGTTTGGCGTAGAATGCTGTTGGTGTTACAGCTGGTTGGTGTTACAGCTTGGTTGGTGTAAAAGGTTTGAGCGCAAAGCTCCTCGATGCAAAGTAGGAAGTGCAAAATTTATTGCTGCAAGGGCTGCCTGGTGCAAGGTCCTTTTGGCGGAAAACTACTCTGCATACAACAGATAAGATTTTTGCTGCCGTGCAAGCTGCTTGTTGTAGAAGGCGGTGTCAGAGATTAGTATCAAAGGCAGCTGCTGAAAGTGCGAAGCTGCTTGGTGTAAATTATAGGTGTTGGTGATCGGGGCAAGGTTTTAATGTAAACGCTGCTAGGTCCTGCTAGGTGTACGGTAGTTGTTGGTCAGTGCCTCGCTTGGGCCTACGTTTTGGCTCGCTTAGGACTACGTCGGAGATACATGGCTGCAGTATCAACAGAAAGATATATCGATGCATCCGAACGTGTGTATCCAATGGAGTCCAATGTGTTTGACGTCGTGTCTCGTACCTCTAGTAGTTCCCACTGTCCCCTGTCCCCTGTCCCCCCTAAAGATTAACCCTAAAGGTGTGTATCCAATGGAGTTAACCGTAAAGGTTGAACTACACATCCCTGAATGTCGTCCTAAGTCCTTTGACCGTAGTTGTTGGTGTGCGAGGCTGTTCAGGGCTGCTTGGGCTGATGACTGTGTAGCGGACTTGAAGCCTGAGATATTTTGTTTCCGGGCAGGCAGTGTTGAACCCACAAGAATGGAGAGAGAGACTTTCCAATGCGGGGGAACCTGGACAGGGCTCACTGGGGGTTCTGGGTTTGGATATTCGATGATTTGGATGGGAACTAGGGGCACTAGGGGCACAGTCACCGTCGAGGTTGCACTGCTTCGTGAGGCTGTGCCCCAACAGCATCCATGGGAAGCCGCCGCCACCACGTGGCCAAAGCCAAGCGCACAGCAGGGCACAGCTGGACTGCTTTGGTCCGTTGATACAACAAGTTGGCTGAGAGTCAACACTACGAGCTCATTGCTTGAAACGGTTTCTGAAATCGTCAAACTGGCCTGACGCGAGCGCTTGGGGAATCGTGGAAAAGCTTGATCAGAGGCCTGCGGACTTTCTTGTTGCTCTTGCCTTGCCAAGGCATGTGCTGGTGGCACAAGACAAGCACTACACAGTGACTGCCTGAGTTCGTCCGGAATTGTAACAGGCGCAGCGATTCATGTTCAAATGACTTCAGCTTCCCTTTCAGCTGCGCTTAATTATTGTTCTGCTAACGACTTCGAGCACATACCCAGCAGTGCAATGTTTCACAACCAGGTGTTCCTTTTTTTCCATACGCGGTGCAGACAAGGTATTGTCATGTCACCTGTTTATCCTCCATTCTAAAATTCAGTTTGATTTCAGTTCACGCGGAACTGATCTGTCGGGCTCCTTGTACTGCCATGCGCAGCTTCGATCTCAGTTTTGCACCTAGATCATCCTCTCCTATTGGGGCAGCAGTCCAGAGTCTGGTGCTAAGTGCTTAGCCAAAGGGCAAGAGAAGGGGCAAACAAACGCTGGGCCAAGACATGCAACTACTTTGACTTAGAGCCCAGGGCAAGTTTGTTGAGACTGGCAATTTATCCGATTTGTTTGTGTTTCCCCAGTGCCTAGCGGTTGTGAACCTTTGCTGTCAAGCTTGAAGTGAGAGCTGAGAGGGGTTGTCCACATTGATAGTCCAGGCTCCCAATGCTCACTTCTAGACTGACTGAGTAATCATGTGCTGCTCAGTGCATTACCATATCAATTTTATTGGCAGCACTCTTTGGTTACAATGTCACCGACCCCGGGATTCCTCTCCGAACTTTGTTCCATCAAGCACATGCCTTGGGTCATGAAGCAGCCTTGAACAAGATTTCAAGATTCAAAAAAGAGTTGCAAGTGCGATTGGGCGGCAGGCGATCTGTCGCGATTGAAGGAGGGACCGGAATGAGTTGGACGTCCGAGCCCTTGGATGATGTGGCACATCATGCTGGCAGTTTGCCCGTTGCTTTGACTCATTTGGACATCATTTGCCGTGCTTCAATTTGTACAGCTGCAAGCACTGAAGACAATCCGCCAGAACAGAGCGATTCAGGGATGACCTATTGCCCTACCTGGCCCTACCTGGCCCTACCTGGCCCTACCTGGCCCTACCTGGCCCTACCTGGCCCTACCTGTTGCACCTGTTGCAATCCTGATTCCTGGTCCAAGGCTGGTCCTGGAAGGTGAGCTTGAAGAACAAGCTGTCAACCTAGGCAGGGCAGTATCCAATCAAGTGCTGCAACCGGCAGCCAAGGCTGCTGGTTGTGGAATACGACCAGGTCCTTAACAAGCAACGTACCAAGCATAAATGCGAACTGAGCGAAACTTGCGCCTCAGGAAGAAGCTCACCATCTTTTGTTTCTGGTGGCTGAGTTCAGAGGCAGTGTATCTGCTGATGTTCGTGCAGCGTGCTGGCAGGAAATGAGGGGCCAGCAGTGGTTCGATCAAGTGTGCTGAAGGAGGCCTGGACGTCCCAAGACAGGAATAGAGATGACAGGATGAAATTTTGAAATGGAATTTTGACGGGGAAAGCGCTGCTTCGCGGTGGTGTCCAGGTTTCAGGGTTGCTACCTGGCTGCTACCCATCGCATGCTTGCCATTGTTTTTGGCCTTACCTCCCATCATATTTCTCCCAAGGTCAAGGATTGTTCTTGGACACCAATGCAGGGAGGATTGATGGGATAAACTCCATTGGAGCTTCGACTTCTTTCCGTTCATTTGCCTCCCTGCATTGGTTTCCAGTAATCTGTCATTTAGTCATTTAAGGTCAGTGATGGGGTTTTGCCCTGGTTTGTCTCCCAGCAGTCACTCTGTTTGTTTTTCATCATGTATGTTTGAGGTTGCTTGGTTTCTGGGCCAGTAAACTCTCTCCAGTTTCTGCTTTCACTTCATCTTTGTCCCCTTATATAGTGTAATTGCTTCCCTTTTTTGTTCAAATATTTGTATTACGAACGAATAGTGTAATTGGAGGGGTCTGGGGGGAAGGGCGGGCCAAACTAGCTGCAATAGGATCAGCCTGATGGTGTTTTCCCGAGCATGCACGATGTGACAATTCGGTGCGGTGATATGAAGGCATCCTTTTTTCTGACCTGCAAGAGCATGTTGCAGGCATGATGATCAGAAAGGTAGGATTGTCATGCCTTGTTAAAGCTCCCCTATGTGGGCATGTGTGAACCTACTATGACATGTCTCTTGGGAAAAGCGGTTGAAAGCTAGAGATAGCACAAAGAAAACAATGATGTAAGGCTTGGTTTCGATGGCTTTATGTGAGCTTCAAATTGTATTGGTACTTCCTCCTGCAGCTCTGGCTTCAACATTGATGATGAGAATGCGCTAGCCGGAAGAATGTTGGGTTGAACGTGTCCTGATGCGCAAGAAAATGCTGCAAGGGTGATTGTTGTGACCATGGTCGGAAAGGTAGCTCCGTTATAAGATGTTATAAGGTAGCTGAATCTCAGAAGCCTCCAGGGCTTCCGTGTATAGGAACCTGACGAGGGGGTATGTATACATATCCTAAGTGGCGGCGCATGCAAAACATATGTAAAAGGCATATGAAACAAACACATTTACGTTAGTGAAACGTATGGGATATATGTGATGCGTATGTGAAGCGTATGTGCAGCGTAGGTGAAAACATATATGTGAGCCGTATATGAAACATATGCGAAACACATGTGAAACATTAACGTATTGCGCGACTGGATTGCGTCATGTTTATGTTTTACTTACGCATATGTTTGTGAATTTATGTCGTTTTTATGTCGGAGGAAAAATAAGACCTTATTTTGTGCACATGCACATCACGTAAAATAAGGTCTTATTTTGGACTGCACGTAAAGAAACATGTAAACAGAAACATGAGCAAAACGCAAACCATAACGCAAACACATGTTGTAACGTTTGTGTTTTTACATGTGTATCGTTTATTTTTTTTTAAGTGCCGGGAGAAAAATAAGACCTTATTTTGCGCAAATAAAGACGGTATTTTGACCCTTACGTAAAAGAAACGTAAACATAAACATAAAGAAAACAGCCGGTAGCGGCAATTTCTGGATATGTCAGGAATATGCGTTTTGTTTGAGTGTTTGAAGCCGTTTATGTATGCATATGCACGGGCCAGTCCAAGACGGGCTCTATTGTAAAAGCCTTTGCTCCACTGTGGCGTTATGCAGACCTTTTGTGAGCTGGATCTCCAAGATCTCCGGTGTTCTTCAAGTCTCTTGCGCTTGTTGGTGTAACGCATTCGAATGACGTGAGGTACACAGAGATTTGCACAGAGAAGTTGTGACGTGCGTGTGGGTGTGCGTGTGTTTGGCATGTTTGAATTTGCAGGTAGGTACATAAAGAGGCAGGAAACCAGTATGTCAATATGTATGCAAAATGGAACTGCGAATTAAGCCAGGCTATGGTAGCTATGGGCTTATTCTTAGGTTGCTTTCTTTGAAAGCATCGTAGACGATGGCTTCGCAGCTGTTTGGAGACCATCATCCGGCCAATTGGGAATGGGTTGAGTGGCGGTTGAAACCTAAGGAGAGGACCAGTGTGAAAGAAAAAGTTGGATGCGGTGAAGGATGGTTAGGGAGAAGAATGATGAGGAGAAGTAAAACAATATTGAAGGTTCATTTTCAAGGTGTTTTCTAGCCAACAAAGGAAGTATGAAGCTGGTGACGCATGCCAAGTTGCAGGCTCCGTTGGAGTTTCTGGAAACTTGTTGCCGCTTGCGAGACGACGTCCAACATCCTTTATAGATCTGTTCCGGTTTCCACAGCAGCCAGTGTTTGTGTTGGGATTTCCCAAACTTCCAAATTGCAGCCTTGCTGCTTCAGCATGTTTTAACTTCCTTGTCTTCTAACCCGTTTCGCGTAAAATGGTCCTGGCTTGGGTTTGCGTTCCTTCTGTCTCAGGTCTTAGCATGTTGAATGAACACGAGATAACACGAGTGTTGTCTCTGAGGATTGTGAAACATTATTTTGATTGTTTGTAGTTCACATGAGCAATGATCAAAACTTGGATTGCACACCCATATTGGGGTGTGGTCATCAATCCCTGAGCCTAGGGATTATACACCGACCGTGAGGATTCCTATTGTGGGATGGATGACTGGACCATACCACAGGTACCATGTTTTGACCCTGGCACATGTGCTTATTCCCATAGACACCATTTCCCATAGACACCAAGCCGCCAACCCCAAAAAACAAAAAGAAAAAAAGGCGAGTACGTGTAAACAACGATTCAAGCTGCTAGTTCAGAGGGGCGCAATAAACAATGATAAAGACACACCTTCATGAACCACAATTTCACGGCACGTTTCCAAGTATGTGATATGTTTCTTACATGCATGTGTCAGAGGTCATTTCCTACAGTGCGGGTGCGGTTGCCTGTTCATGCATGTGTTCACAGTCTTTTAGGCGATGTAGGCTTTTGTTGGGCGACTTGACGATACTTCAGGAGAGCTGCTCTTTCCTCAGCAGCTTTGAAACATCTGGGGCTGCGAGCGCGGACATCGTGGAACGCAGCCACTCTTCAGAGACGCGAAGCCCCCAGTGTTTTGCAGAAACAAAGGAAATACCGAAATACCTAAGCCATCCGAACTGCCACTGAAACATTTCATTTTGAGTATATCTGATTGTCCTTGATTCAGTTTCGCGCCCAGGCCATGTGTTTCACTGCACGTCTACCATCCACCGCTGCCTGAGGCGGGGGGAAAGCAGAGACTTGCCAAATACAGAACGGCCCTATCATGCCCTATCTAAGACAAAACGTTCAGGGAGTTAATCAACAAAGTCAATGCGAATCCAATGTGGCAGTTCAACCGCGGAATCAAATCAAAGGACATTCAGCGAGTCGCCAGAGGGCTACCTGAAACAATAGCTAGTGCCATTATTTCCCTAAGTTAATTCATTTGTAGTTGATGCATCAGATCAAGGTGACAGTGAGCAAGTGTGGGAAGCATAGCATCAATGCTTCTCCTTTTTTGTGTCTCCGGGGCTTCTTGTCAGAAGGGGATAGCAGATACCTTGGGAGTGCGTATTTTTCATGATTTTGCATCCCAGCAAAATGTCTAGACTGAAGCATTTGCATTTGGGAGTCCCCTGGGGATACTAAAACAAAATTGCATGCTCCAAGCCTACGTATCTTGGCGCCATGGGGATCAAGGGGGTGTGAATTGTGATGTCTTCTTAAGGGGCGGCTGGTTGCTCGAGTTTTTGCCCTTTCCTACCGAAGCTCCCCAAATTATATTGTCAGGCACCAGGTCTACTCAGTCTCCTCACCAGCCTCTTTTGCACCAACTCTGTCGGTCCTGTGCTCCACTCTAATATGTATATATATATAATTATATATATATATAATTATATATATATAATTATATATATATACATATTTATATACATATATATATATACACAACAAATGACATATGTGTATATATATATATATATGCGCACATATACACCTTCCGAGTTTTTGTGAAAGGGTGCGGCATCAGGTACTCCTTGAAAGCGGGGTTAATTTTTCGCTCTGAAAGGAGTGCAGTATTACTCTCAACTAGGCACCCACCATGTGCAGAATTCTTTGAAAGTGGTGAAGTATTTTGCCGAAAGAATACAGCACTGTCTCAATGCAATAGTTTATTGAAAAGAGTATGATTATCCGTGAAGAAATTGTGCTGTAACTATGTGCAATATTTCCTTTGAAGGGGTGACGAAAAGAAGGCAATATTCTGGTAGGACGACGAAACATTACTCAGAAGTGCAAGCTTTTGATGTCTGCAGTACTTGTTTTGAAGCAAGATCTTTGTGAAACAAATGTGCGATACCAATGCGTGTCCTTTTTCCCTTCCAAAATGGGTGAAGCACGTGATTAAATAGCAACAGAGTGCAATATTCTTTCAAGACCGTTCAAAAAAGCACGACTGCCATGTCACAAAGCCATTAGAGAAATGTTGAAGTTTATGAAAGGGAATCTTGCATTTTTGGAAGGAAAGCTGTCTCAAAGGCGGATCGCAATTTGTGGCAAATCTTCATTCTTGAAAACTTAATGTTTAAAAGGATGCTGCTGCTGCTGCTGCGTGTAATATTGGGTTTCCCAGCAGGAATGCTGTAAAGAGCGTACACTACTGCATTTTTGGTGCAGGAATTCACCCTGTTAGAGAGATGCGTTCTCATTTCAGGACAACTGGATATTTTGGAAGGAAGGCCGTGCTTCTTCAAAAGGAACGTTGTGACGTTGTGTTTTTCAGAGGACACTTCCTCATTTTGCAGGGTCTTGCTTCTTGAAAGAAGCGTTGTATTGCTTCATGTTACATTGTATTGAATATTGCACTTTTTTACGGAAATGTTGTACCTGGAAAAACCCGGCTCGCTGACTATGCTGGAAAGAAGACAAAGAACATTGCATTTTTTAGGATCCTGCCTCATAGATTGCATGGATGATGAGACACTCTGAGACATGTATTACAGGCATGCTGCGGTTTTTCTACCGTTGTTTGGAAGGAATTCTGACCTTCGTTTGAAAAGGTGTCGGAAAATTGTACTTTGAACATTGCAAGGTTTGCAAGGCGCAGGGTGGAGCATCTCTCAAGAGGCACAATCACTATGTACGCACAACCGCACAACAAAAATATTACCACATTCCCCCTAAATAAGTTAAATTACCCGTGGTAGTTTCTACCTCATGCGTGTCATTGTTATATAATTCTACATACTAAGCAGCTGTTGTGAAGCTGAAAGACTGCTCAAACAGTCAGGCACTCATGTCACTCAGCAACCGTTCCCATGGTTTTTATACGTTTTTATCATGTCCTGTGGGCATTTGCTAACTTCGGAGTGTCCACTTTGGCGAGCTATATATGTTTAAGACTGTTTAAGTGCATTTTTCCAGCTGCGTTTGTTTGCATCCCAGTCAAACCCAATGGATGGGCCATTCAGCTTTGTGCACTGGGGATTGCATGGTGCTTCCCTTGACTTGTTTTTTTGAGGAATTGAGGGAACCATGGAAACACAGCAGAAAAGAATCCTCATGAAAGATATGACACATGCATGAAAGATGCATGAAAGATGCATGAATAATTCGCATGAGCGCTTCCTTTCTTTGTCCCTTGGTGCCGCAGGCCTGGCTGAAGGGATGAGTGGATAGAGTGGATAGAGGCGCAAAGCTCGGGCTGAATCCTTTCTAACAAATCTACATGCGATGCTTTCAGCTTCGTTGGGATTGTTATTTTTCTATGTGAGCTGGATCCAGCAGCACAGCACCATGAGTGGTATCTCTTTGTTTTTGCAAGACGGTTCTGGTTGAAATCAGTTTTCACAGCAGGTCCTTTGTCACGCGCTGATACAAGGATCTTAGATTTCGCGGCTTTGCCACTGGGGGCCATGAGGCGTCTACATTTGGTTCAAAACCATCCAAAAAATCTTGGGACATGCAGTTTCGCCAACATTATGTTTCAAGATTTGCTACTGCCGGCTTGTTTCTTACATGATGCCACAGCCGCCCCCTTGGAATACCAGCCAAAGTGCTTTGGCAAAATCAGCCATTTGTATCCATTTGTTAATTTCAGAGCGATATGAAGAGGCTTTGTTGCTTTCTCTTTTTCAAGTGAAGATGCTTTGGATTCAAACGCTTTGGGGGTCATCTGAAGAAGGCCCAATGTACAGTCTCGTTTGCAGCGTGTTGGAGCTGCGCATTCAGGCAGCGTATACGTTTTTTTGATTGCCAGGCAGGATGTTTACCGCATTAGGCACTTGGAGGTTTTTCATGAACTGTGCTTTGTTTTTGGATGAAAATTGGTGTGTTTCTTTTGGGTTTGCCTGTTTGATATTCGGCTGATGGCCTTCCATTGCATTTGGGCGGCGGCAAAACAGGATGCATTGCTAAGTGCCAATTCCAAAGGCTTGAGAGCAAGAGATGCACATCTTGCGAATGAGAACGAACAACATGGAACGACGATCTTTTGCAAAAGACATTGCAAGGACGAAGGAAGAAAATGATGGGTTAGGAGCGTGCGCAGCCGTTCGCTTCCTTCACAAAGGCCACTGCTTGATAATTATTTCGGTTCCAGGTAGACAGAGGACTGTACCAGGCTGTACCATACTGATCATGTTGCTTTCATTGCTTTCGTTGCTTTGGTTTGCTGTTCATGGGCCTGTCAGGTGGGCAAGTCGACCACCAGTTTTTGCCACATTTGATTTATTTATATTATATAATGTTGTTTGAAGGTTGAGATGGTTGAGGGGACATTTGCTTGCAGCACTCAGAAAATTGCCAACCCTGTCGTGCCATGGCGACCGATTGCTTGCTAGAAGCCTGGGCCGCTTCGTCCCCGTGCAGATTTTTCCGACTTGATCTCCAAATGGAGAGGATGTGATGAGCATCCTCACTGAACGCTTAGCTTTGCACGACATGGAATTGTTTGTCAGTTGGCCTACATCATTGGTCCCAATGATCCCAATGGTCCCAATGTAAGAGAGTTCGAAGTGGTCTAAATTGATGGAGCTTTGCACCGATACACGCAGATGACGCAAACTCCTCCAACTCCTCCAGCTTGCGCCCAACCTTGTGCTTCTAGCTCTGCATAGCTTGGCTTGCGCGAAGAGACCTTAATTTCTCTTGGATTTGCACAAAGAAGGCAAGTTGAGCTCTTGCAGATCTTGTAGATCTTGTAGATGCAATGTCAGCACAGTTGCAGTCATGTTTGCGCAGTTGCTTTCTTAGCAACGTTCCGGCGGACAATTTCAAGACTAGACAAAAACGCTGACTTCAGCAAGTGGAGACTGAATTCAGCATTCCGATGAAGCGTTGTATGTTTTGCTATGTTTGCAGCCTAGCCAGAGCTGGAAGTTGAAGGAAAAGCTCGACAGCCACTGGGGCTGAGCTGCAAGCGGTTTCAAAAGTGCCAAGGCTTGGAGATGGCAGATGATTGGCAAGTGACGCAGTTGCTTGCACCAATTGAGCTATGCCCTGCCTTGGGCCTTGACCATCTCTAAGAGCAGAGCAAAGCAGGGCGACATTGCGCAGCTTTACAGAACGCTTTGGGCTCCCATAGGTTGAGAGTTTCATCCCACCTTGACGTGTCAGGTGCATGGCAGAAATTCTAGTTTCAGCAGCTCTTCAACAGCCTTGGGGCCTTCGAGCCAGTGTGGAAGCGTTGGGAGTGTAGCCTTTGTGCGGGGCCTGTGGACATAGAGCCCATTGTTTCTGCGGAACATCATTCGGGGATGGCCCAGCTGCATCTTTTACATGTTTACAATTGTGACGTGTTCTTGTTTCTTTCTCACAAACAGGATAAACAGAATGAGCACTAGGGCAGACCTTCAAGACGCCGCAAAGTTCCATTGTCTGCTGCAGGCTCATAACTTATGAGCCAAAAAGGTTCAGCCTCCTTCAGATGCTGAGCGCTGGTCGTATCTCCTTTAAGCAAAAAAGCGGGTGGGTAAGTCTTTTTCAAAGTAGTTTCATATTCAACACATATATTCTTTGAAGATAAATGTGTTGGCGCCTTGCACTGCGGTAAGCAACTTTGCAGCCAACTGTTGCCGGACCGCGCTTTCGCCGCAAACATTTTTTGCCAGCAACGTGCAGCTTCGGTGCAGCAGAGGCTCCTGATGCTGGAGTTGGAAGAAATCAAGTAGTGTGATACCGTTCGTTCTGGTGCTCTTCGTGTGCGGATGTGTGTGCCATTTCTCCAAACAGGATGTAGTTGGCGCAGAGCATAGGAGGACGGCAAAATATGTGTTGCGTTGCTCCCTGAGCCCTTGCATGGCTTGCCAACAAGACAGGAAAAGGTAGTAGCGCCCTTGGGGTTTGGATGGCACTGCAGTGCCATGAGAAAGGGAGAGTTGTGTGTCAGCAAAGCAACTTGGATCTGTTCTCTTTTGGAGAAAGTCGTTCATCCTGCAGCCGCTTTATTTTGAAGAGGTGTCACCCGCAGCAAAGGACGCTCGCCCAAGCTTTGACTATCTTGTGGTCTTTCGTTGCCAGCCGCAGAGATGTTTTGTCTTTTCCACAGAGGTTTAGGTCTAGGTTCAACCGTTCTTCCCGCTTTGTGAAAGTCATAAACGCAGGTGTTGTTCAGCAAAAGGCACCGTTGCAGCGCCCGGTTTATTTAGCCCTGTCATCTTGAGCTCAGTGTTGTCCTTGAAAATGCGCTGCAGGCTGACCTTTCACTGCTGTGATGTCCCCTGTAAGTTGCAAATCCTTTTTGCACGCAGAAATATGCGCTGTCTTGCATGTGTACTCAAAAAATCAAGCTCCATGTGCAGCTTCGGTGCAGCAGAGGCTCCTGATGCTGGAGTTGGAAGAAATCAAGTAGTGTGATACCGTTCGTTCTGGTGCTCTTCGTGTGCGGATGTGTGTGCCATTTCTCCAAACAGGATGTAGTTGGCGCAGAGCATAGGAGGACGGCAAAATATGTGTTGCGTTGCTCCCTGAGCCCTTGCATGGCTTGCCAACAAGACAGGAAAAGGTAGTAGCGCCCTTGGGGTTTGGATGGCACTGCAGTGCCATGAGAAAGGGAGAGTTGTGTGTCAGCAAAGCAACTTGGAGCTGTTGAGTTCTGCTTCATCCTTGGAAGCAGCATTGTGCTGCCATTTGGGTGCCAGCGGATAGTTGGCTCCGGGCCTATGTCAGTCTTTGCGTAAAGAAGTAATAAATTAAGACATATTAAGCCTCTAGATTAAGACCCTTTGGTTTTCAGACTTGCCCCAGTGTTTTCTGAAGAACGCCTTCCCCGCTTAAGTTGTTTTGTTTGTACGGATCATACCGGATACAGCGCAGCGAAGGACACTCATCCAAGTAGAGCTTGCTTTTGTTCGACTTTTTCTGTGGCGGCAGTGTCCTAACTCCAAGCGCTTGCGCCAAATCTTTGATCATCCAGCTGGGTCAAGGCTTATCCGGGCGCAAAGCTGGAGCACTTTCGGCGACTTGGGTGCAGCTCCAGATTCATCATTCCCCGCTACAACATGAATGTTCTTGAGATTCCTGACCAGTACTTGGAAGATTTGGAAGAACCCGCAGCTGCATAACATGAAATGTCAAAAGTTTATGGTCTCTGTAGCGTCGAACTCTGAGGCATGTTAAAGTGTTCCAGATGTATTCTTGGCGCCCCATTGCTTGAATATTGCTGGGAAGAACCTTGCTCTGAGGAAGCAAAAAGCTACAGCAAACCTGCCCGGCCAAGGCAAAAAGCAACAATGCGGAAAGCAACAATGGCCCAAGCCTGCAGATGTTGCGCCTGCGGGAAAACCATGGAAGCCTCCCGCAGGCGTGCAGGACGATGTTGCTGTTGCTTCGTAAGAGACAGTTAGACAAGCCGGCTGCACCTCCCTTTTCCTAGTTGCAGAAATGACGCAGCAAGCTGCGTTGCATCGACCCAACGGATGAAGATGACGCGCAGCCTTGCTAGAGCTTGCCATGTAGGGCGCTTGTGCAATTTGCCGGTCGCTATCCCAGCGCATTTGCTTGCGGCTCGGCCTGAGGCATGGGCGTGGCCCTTGGCTTCCAACATGGTGCCGATCCTTTGTTGCGTAAAAACATAGTAAAACCATGTAAAACCAAATCACGAATGCCTCGCAAGGCCCAAGATGCTGGCTGAAGGTGTCAGATGCAACCTTCTGCAGCATACGAAATACCACAGCTCTACCCATCTTGGGAAGGATTTTCAGCAGAGAAGCATGAATGCCAAAGACTGATGCTTGGATTGTCAGACGCTTCTGGAAGCATCCTGTCGCAACAATCAAGAGAGGGAACGCCTTAAATAGCACCAGAGGCAACGCACCATGCTGTTTTTTGGGGAGGGTATGCGAGGATTATTTGATGTTGTATGATTTTTGTATTTCAATGACGTTCCGTATGCACATCGGATTGAAATCTTCAGCCTTATTTCCGATGTATGACCACAAATGTTCAAAGATTTCTTAAGGCTAGGGGGCTAGGGGTACCGTATTGCAACTCACACTTGAGGAAAATGTCTTGTCTGTGTGTCGCCCGTCCCCTAATCTATTGCTAGCTTCCGATTAGCAAATCAGGGTTCCCCAAGATTAGTATTCAACCATTCTCTATTTTTTGGAACAGTTCAGAATCTCAGAACCTGTGCGCACAAGGGCATCAAATAAAGCCTGGAAGCAAGGACTT